GAATATCACGTTATCTTTAACATCAGCTCACCTCAATAACGACCCCTCCTCCCCGACCTCTCAATACGACCCTTCAGGTGTGGCATGCCACACCCCACGCTTGACCCTAGGTGAAACGTACGCTGTCAAATGCATCTTGAAACACTGATCCCAAATCTGCTTTCGAAATCTGTTGTGCGCTCTTCCGAAAGAAATTGTAAACATTTCTTACCACCAAAATTTGTATTGCTTTGATGACAGGATTGACCAATATCGTCATGTTCACTTAAGCAAGAATGTCCAAATAAAATCAAGCTTGACGTTAAGCTCAGGACAACCGTCTCCGATAGCTTGGAGTCTAAGAAGGCTGGATACCAACGATTCTGACGGCCTAGGTCTCGTTAAATTGATATGGAAAAAAGTCCATTTTGGTTGTGAGAGCCGCAGAGCAGATAATGAACATAAATTTGGAATCATCGTTTAGGCGCATCTACTGGTATACATCTCATTGCAAAAGGCCACGGTCACCAAGCCTTCCCTTGTAAGTCTGCGTTACTTGAAGGAAGGGTTGGCGGCAAAAAAATGTATATGTATCGTCGACTCTAAAAATCGTGACGACGGTCTGCAGTGCGGCCAGTGCGCGCCGCACGGCACTGCCACCTAGTGATTCGCCCAAATTACGTGGAGAAGGTGAGTTCTTGTGGTTTTTCTTTTTCTTTTTGCATCTTTTTTGCTTGCAGGAACTTTCATGGCTACCGCAGGGAGCCCACACTGCAGAGAAGCAAGATTGCCCTACGATAAAGCGGCAGTGCCGTGCGGCGCGCACTGGCCGCACTGCAGACCGTCGTCACGATTTTTAACGTCGACGATAGGTTCTATGCCCTAATTCTCGCAATTTCCATAAAAGTAATATAAGCCTAATTTGTCCTCTTTAATATGGGTAGTGAGTGCTGAGAACAGAACCATTGAAAGAGAACTCGAAAGGAACGAGATTTTGGCTAACTTCTAATTCCGTAGTTTGGCGGTTACGCGAAGTGGGATTTCTAATGTGGGCAAAGAAGGAGTGTGGTGCACTGAATGCAAAAGGGAAGCTGTTTCATCTTCAAAGCAAAAGTTAACCATGTTCGAAGATGACCTTTTCACTTGAATGGCCCCATAATTGACTTCAGAATTCTCTAGGTCTTAGTCCACAAGGGTCACTTGACATGCTAATGACGAAAAATAATTTTCATTATTTCTAAGGGCTTCTTTAGAGTGCTTATGTACGTATACGATGGAAGATCAGCACCTCAATGTGCATGTAATTTGCGTGACGGTCTTACTCGACATTGTTAACCAATATAATTTCATCGGTAACATCAATAACACCTCTACGACGCCCCCCCCCCGTCGCTGACCCCTCAATATGAACCCTCCCCCAGGTGTGGCGTGCACACCGCTTGAACCTGGTGATAAACTGAGCGTGAAGAAAGGTTTCGATACACGATTGCGATTGCGGATGTTGTTTATGGCTTTGCCAGTTAGTGAAGATGTACTTGCAGCGGTCGTTGTCTTACGCCACGAGGCCCTTGATCGCTCAGAACCGCACTCAAAATCCCTTCAAGAGACTGAAAGCTAGCATATGATGGCAGAAAAGCGTATGGCGAGAAGTGTTTCGTTGCCGTGTTGCATGAGCAGTGGTCGCAAACTCAGCGACTCTAACGATTAACGTAATTCCATACTCAGATACATTTTCCGACTGATGAACGGGTAAAAAGGGCCTTTTGGCAGAGGTGTATTTCGGTGTGTTTCGCAGTGGAGCTTAAAACAGGCCACGATAGAGAATAAAATTTTTACCGCCTGGCTTCCGGTACGAAAGATGCTCCGAAGTGCAGCTATTGTTGGGAAACGATTTCGACACAGGACTATATGTCGCCGGAAGTGGGAGGATCCCGCGCGGACAATGCAGCAGATACTCAGCCTCTGCATGTATTGAAGTGTGTACAGTCTGCTCCAACTTGGACCAGGCCGAAACGTGGCGTAGATTTGCGCGCTCGCAGCGCTAGCGGTCTGCGCTGCATATGCGTGCGGTCGGAGAGAGCAAAAGGACTGAAGAGAGAGCAGAGAAGCAGAACGTAGGCGTGATCGCTAAACCCTAGCGACGCGGACTCCCGCCATGCCAATTTTGGCCTGGTTGGGATTGGGGCAGACTGTATTCGTTGCAGATGCCTGGCGAAAACTCCCACTTTCGGCGACGTATACAATACCGCTCATAATTCGTCAAAAAAATGGCCGGACTGCGGTGCAGTGCGCCGGAACGCGACGGGTCCACTAAAGTGCAGCAGAGTGCGCCGCACTGCGCTGCAGTCCTCGGAGTGCGCTGCAGTGCGCCGGAATGCGACGCGGTTCACTAGAGTGCAGCGAAGTGCGCCGCACGTCACCAAAGTCCGTCGGAATTCGCGTCGCATCGCCATACCTCGCTTCAGAATGGACGAATTCTGAATCCGAAGACATTATTCGATTCAGCTCGGCGAGACGCATCATATGGTATGCAGAAGTGTGACAATCTGTCGATGTGCTGTAGGTATACGTTAGGCAGTAAGTTTTCGCTCAGTTTTGCACATTTTTGTTTGGTTAGATTAGTCAGTGTGCTGGTAACAACATCGCCATTGATTTACTGCTGATGGCACATCGTAGTACTGTTGGAATATGGTAAAATGTGTGACTTTGATCGATTTGTTTCAAGTCCAGCTCAGAGTATCTCTGATGCGCTGATTGCGGTAATCACATTGATTTGGTGCTCAAGGCACACTGCGCAGGGATCTGCGTTGTAAGGTCATTTTGGTTGCGTTCGAAACGTTGCTTATTTTGCTTTCATGTGCTGCTCGTTCTGAACAGAAAGATCGCATGTCGCACTGGCCATCTGAGACGAAACTATGTCATCAAATGCGCCTCGGTGGGCTGATTCCTAATCTGCTTTCCTTATGATGAATGGCTTTCTAATAGAAGTTATAGGCGCTTCCAAACTTCGCAAACAATCAGTGTCACACCAAGATTTAGCGGTACAAGGACCTTCATTATGTATGTAACAAAATTTTTGCTCTATTACAATGAGTACACACAACATCATGCCCCTTATACTCTTTCGAATTGGTCTTTAAAGTAATTTTCAAACGTAGCTCAATGACCTTATTCTTCCAACCGCTCATAAGTTCTCTCAGAGACTCGTTCAGCAGCTAAGGAAGGTAGGTATCCCTATCAAGACGCTTTTATATGCATTTTACCAAGATCGACAGTTGTGGTCCTAAGGTCATTTCCTGTTCCATAGTAGCTAGTATTCATTATGACGTCATGCTGTAGAGTACAATTCACATTGCTATTAGGTTGGTGCAAAAGTAATGCGCGTTTTCTAACCTTGTTTCAGGACAACTTTTTTCCACCAAACTTTCTTCTTTGGGAAAAATTTAGCAAACCACCAAGAAGCTCTTTACATGCTCTATCCAATGGTGACTAAAAGGGTCTTCCAGCCTCATTTATTAAAGAGTTATGGAGCTTCAAATAACCGCATTCAAATTCAGAATTTCATAGCACTTACTTCTCTGGCCAGAATTCAAACGCGAATCAAGGCGTCCTTCTGCAAATACAGCTACTGTATGTAATTGAAGTTGTCTACATCATGCACACTTCACTATTTTCATAGAAGTTGCCTAAACTGAGATTTCGGCGCCTCAACATGGGTAGTCGTTTTGGTCATTCTGTGGCCCATAAATTTCCTGTAAAAAAGGCAATCGCCAAAGCTTTGCTCATTTCTGTAAGCGTAGGGGTAGACCTTCTGTTGAATGTCTTTACAAAAATGTTTGGTTATTCAATACGCAGAAATAAAAAAATCCATATTTCGGTATTTTGAGGCCTTCGAAAAAATGTTGAAAAAAGGATAATTTTTCATTTGATTTTTTCCTTATCGCAAAACTTCTTTATTTCAGTCTTTTTCAACTTTTTTTGTACTACTGGCTTGCGGCTACAAGCCAAGCTACTTATTATTTACATAGACAAATTTCGAAAAGAGTTATGATCAGTTGAAAATGAGGTTTCAGAGCTTACCTTGCATCAATCCACATTTTTCGGCCCGTTTGCGATATGAGCATATATGGATGTGCGCTGTATTGCGAAAAGTTTGAGGCCTCTGGTGGTCTTTATCGCATTGAAAAATATAAGTTCTTTGGAAAGTTATAGCACGTCAAAGTGAAAACTCGCAAAACGCGCATTACTTTTGCACCAACCTAATACTTAGCTCCTACGTGATAATCGAGCATGCTGATTACGAATACAATATTAGCTTTGAAATCAGCCGTTACTTTTACCGACTTCATCAATTTTTTGCAAAGTTAGACATACGGGCTGGTATTTGGCACAGCAGGGTAATTGGGCATGCTGATTACTAAAACAGCGGGAACATGGCATGCAGACGTGGGCACAGGGAAAGGTTATACAGAGATAGAAATGACAGCTTTATCGTAGGGTTTTGAGAGGGCCGGGCGGAGCCGGGTAAGCCAGCTAGTAAACTGATAAATACCACAAAATAGTTGACAAGACTTGGAACATCTTCACGACTTGATGGCGATATAGATACTGATCACTTTACAATACTGATTTGCTACTGATGTTTCTTTACGACCGGATTAGCAAATCGGTGTGAGTTGGGTTGAGGAGTTCTCTATTAATGCAACTTGCTGATCTGATTTGGCAAACCATGCCCCAAATCCTTGACGAAGAGCTTTGCTGCTCATAAGATCAATCAGACCGAACAATACTCTTTCCAAGGAGTTGTTTGGAAAGCGCGTTAAGGTGAGGCCGATAATGCTAATAATTGTCTAGCTACTTTTGCGGAACTGAAGAATACTGTTTCTCTGTCCCCGTTTTCACTATGCCTTGCTGTAATTACTTTTTGTTTGAGTGTTCTGAAGTGTTTTAAGAATTACTTTGTTGTCACTGCTTCATCATTGCTTTATGCCTCAATGAGGTTGACCCAGTTTTGAACTCGAATGTGCGGTGTTTACTGTCATATTGTCAGCACGTTCAACAGGTTGGTAAGGAGTTGAGGAGCTAACTAGCACTTCCAGCTAATGTACAGTAAACTCCAAAAATTATCTACATCCCGTCTTGAGTATATAATCTTGAATAAGCGTTAAAGCACAAAGATGAGACCAACTCCACCTCTCCGCGATCGGTCCTGATTTTGTGTATTATGTTCACAAATGCTAATTATTTTACTTGCAGAGTCATATTTCGAGAAAATTTTTTACGAAGACGAAATTGCCTCAGAAGAAGAGCAGGAGGCTCACGGTGGTGCGTTTTTATCGCTCCAGGAGAACTCTACCTCGTTTATGTAGGCAATATCATACCCGAAGTTTAAATCTGAGACCCGCGCCCTCTACAGTGTCGCGTCCCAGAGAACCACTTTATATGTGTGTATTTCTACGACTCAAAGGCGGCGGCAGCGCTAATTCTTCGGCAGAGATAGCGCAGTGAGCTGTACAGAGTTGTTTGCAATGCTACTTTTGAAAGCCTTTATTTTACTGCATGAGCTCTTTTAGAGTCGCTTCATACTGCAGTCGCTGCAGCAACGGCAGTCGTTCGATCAATATCTGTTGCCCTCCCCAATATGACCGCAGTTGCTGCCTGCATATGGAAACAATCCTTAGGAGTTTGTAGTCATCTTCGAAGGCGTGATCGATCGACAGGAGAGGTTTGAAAATTAGACTGACTGCGAATCATCTGCGGATAAAGAGTTCCATCCTTTTTTTCTCAAATTCCACCTGTAACTTAGGGTTGTTTCAAACTGCAGTCGCTGCAGCAGCGACAGTCGATCGATTGATATATTCATCAATATGACTGCAGTTACTGGAGCAACTGCAATATGGTACAAATCTTAGGGTGACATACCTACTGCCAAATTGAGAGTGTTAGGAGGCAAATGGAGTTTTATTCCAAAGGGCATCCCCAAAATGCGGCAACAGTTTTAAAAAGTGTAGCATCAAAACTGAGTACTAGTTGACTCTCCGCCTTTCACTGAGGTAAATACAAGTAACTATGAAACCAGCGATTTTGCTAAGGTTTCCCTCAACCAATGGTATTGGACTCCAAAGCCTGTGGGAGGGAATCAGGAATTTTATTCCAGAGATTCGCTGCTATATACATGCACATATTCACTTCTTTCAACTAGGATGTGCTTAAAGGTAGTCATGCTTGTAACGCCTCTTTTGCCTGATGTCTTGATATCATTAAATCTCAGATTTTGAAAGACCTTATTGGATAAGAAATAGAGGCGCAAATTCCAGTGAAATTTGATAGCACCGTATTTTCTACCCTTATCAGCAATCCGAGGGCCTTTAGGCGGCACTATAAACTGTCTTGCGTTGATAGCACGTAAAATATACAGGGGATCCCCTGTATATTTTACGTTTTTATTTTAGGAAAAAAATGTCAAAACTGTTTGATCGTTATCAAGTCCCTAGCTTTCATGTCTTTCGCCGAGCTTGAGGCTCCATTCTGTAGAGCGACGTTCAACTTAGATTTATAATATGGAGCGAGTCACCGTTCGCTCTTCGTTACTGTAGGATTACGGTAAGAACTTCCAGCATGTGAAGTCGCTGTGAGATGTGCCATCTGACAACATTTTTTTCAGAAAATCTGAAAAATCGTGTACTAGGGTTTTCGCGCACGCTGATTCCACTACACAACTTTTACGATTTTTTTTTCAGCCTTTTTGAGGTGTAATCACATTTTCGTCACATGCTGGGAAGTCAGTGATTACAGTTTACCTAGGACAACTTTGAAAAAAAGCATCATAGTTAAGCGAAAATTTCCTATTCAAAATCAGCGGCTTCCAACACCATAGTGCAAGAATTTTGGCTTGTTTGGCTCTGTTTTGAGGCAAGAATTGGCCTTTAATGGCCTAAAATCCTTGTCGAATTTCCTACAAAAGAGCGAACGGTGATTCGCACCAAACTATTAATCTAAGTAGAACCTCGCTCTACAGAATGGGGCCTCAAGCTCGGCGAAAGACATGAAAGCAAGGGAGTTATCAACGATCGAACAGTGTTAACAATTTTTTGGGACACCCTATATACAGTCAATTCTTATATGGTTCTGTGTGTCATTGCACACACCGTTCATCTTTGACGATTCCATCTTGAATTTGCAACCGCAAAAACGCAAGAGGCCGACCAATCACGCTTACATCCGTGGGGACTGATACGTAGAAAAGAGAGAAAACATAAAGAAAAACATTGAAAACTTATTTGAATAGGGGTGCGCTGCAAGAATCAAGGATAGAAACGCCAAAGCTGAGAGAAAGAAGCTTCGTTTGAGGCGTTCGTAAAATTATGAACCGCACAAAATTCTTCTTCGGCGCAAAAACATCCCTAAGATTAGCACCAACTTTCATTCTTGTGCCGCGTATACCGTTTTCGGCTATGCTCTTTTGTGGAACACTTTTCTAGGTTTCTTAAAAACTTACGAAACTTCTAAAATATGGGGTTTTTTACAATTATGAACCGCACTCTACAGTATGTCGGGACGCAGCTAAGCTCCGCCTGCTGCTCTCCCGTGAGCTGGCCGAGAAGGTCCCATAGGAGCCAGTGACCCCCTACGACCGCGTCCCGTAAGGCTGCCTAGTCAGTCTTCCCCCTTCCCCTTTCTTGTAATATATGTAGATAATAAATATATATAATAACAACCTGTACCGCTACACATCAAGCTAGGGCCCGTACACCCCTAGACTTGACATGGAGGTCCCAGGGAAGATTTCTTAATCTTTAGAATTCTAGAATAATTTTTTCTCTCTTCTCACTTTTGATATGGATTTCAAAAAAAAATTTACTCCCCCCCCCTCCCACTTCTACAATTCGATCGATCGCTATGGACGTCACCAACGAACAATTGTGTGTGAGTGTTTTTTTTTTATGTTGCACAAATATATTAGCTGTGTGAGTGAAATATCTAATCTCCGTGTGAGTCAAATATTTAACCTTTTCAGAAAGAAAAAAAATTGTTAAATAAAATAAAATAAAAATTATTTATACAGTCCTGCGAACAGTCCCATTTTGTCAATTTCTTTCTTTCGTAAAGCGCTCGCATTTTCCGTGATCCGTGATTCCGTGAATCCGTGAATTTAAAAAGCGCATTTAGCAGCCGTGATCCGTGATGCCGTGATCCGTGATCCGTGAATCCGTGATCCGTGAATCCGTGAAACCGTGATTCCGTGAATTTTTGTTAACTTATTTTATTTTTTTTATTTTTTATAATTAGACAATGGACTTGTTCGCAATTGCTAGCACAAAATTCACTGCAGTATTAGACCCAGAAAGATAAATCTGCTGGCCCACTGCAGATAACTTCTGCTGGGAAGTGTCGACCAATCGTAATGCTTCGACCTCTCAGGAAATATAGCAAAACCCAGTGCTACTGTCCGCGCGGTGACCCCGCTTTGGCTAAAAAGCAACGCGGCGGCCCTCGTAAGTTGTAAGCATGTGACCCGCGACAAAAAATTTTTCGTGACAAATTAATATTTTTTGAGCGCTATGACCTTACAGCCACGACTAGTGCAAATGCTCGCGTCTGTTGTGTCGCGATAAGCCTTGGAACAGGATTAATAATTGCGTAACCTAATCTTTTACGATCATGGTATACGTCCAACAGCAGCAGTTGCACAGTATGACCCCTTAGCGTCTGTTCTTATGCAACTTATACTGCCAACAACAACAGTTGTGCCCGATATCCCGCTGCCGTATATCTTACGCAAATTATATTATCGTAATATTTACCTTCTGCTGTCGATACAAAACCACTTCAAACCTTTTGAAATATTTAGAAATATTCATACTATACACAACACTAATTATATTGTTTGTTGTTTCATGAAAATGATACATGTCTAGATCAATAAAAAAAAATTTCGACAGCTTTGGTGATATTCCGCGCCTCACAGATAATAATAGCACTCAAATCATTCTTAGTGCAGGATCGTACTTTTGAAGATTTACCGCGTTTTGCTACAATTTCCCATCCATTGAACAAACTTCGCATAAAAGATGCAGTTTTTCTTTGGAGCAAGGAGTGAGAAATAGCATTCCAAGCATTAAAACATGCCCTAGTGGATGCGCTTGTTTTAGTGCTTCCTATTCTAGGAAAACCCTATATCATCCACACCGATGCATCAACCATCGGTCTCGGCGCGTGCCTCCTACAAGTCAATCCGGAGACTAGTAGTGAAACTTTTGATCGCATATCGCAGCCGCCTTTTTAAAATTCATGAGAGGAATTACGCAACTTCCGAGTTAAATTTTCTACGGTTGCCAATAGTTCCACAATGTTGATAACTGATCACGCCCAAATCGATCATGCATAGATCAGATCTCATGTCATTTAAATTCAAGAGCAGATACTCATCGTCTTTTTCAAGTTACTCAAGTAGATTGATAGCCTCAATTTTGAGGAACAGTCACCATGTATCAAACATAAGATAAAAATCATTGCTGCCTTGAAAAAAAAAATCCAGTAGTCTTTGTCCTTCGAATCTATAGTCACAATGACGCGCTTCCACGTTGTACCCAAAACTGCGTTCTAACATATGCAAATGCCAAAACAGCGGATCTTGTTTATAATTGCGATCAATTCTGTCGAATACTCTGCCATATGCATTGATTTTTAGACGCTTGGACTTGAAATTTTTGAATTAGTTCACACTTTGGAGTACAGATTCAAAAAAAAAAATCAACATGATCTGAGTTATCTATCTAACATCCTCTGCTTCTGACAATCATACTCTTTAAGCTATACTTATAAGTAGTGATATATCATCAAATTCTCAATTTAAAAAAAACCAAAATTTTCGGTCCTTTACTTGTGATTTAGATGGTAGTAAAAAAAAAGCGCAACGAGTTGAAATCTTATATCCTTTGATTTACATTGCTCCAAGGTTGGAAATGTCAGATATAGAGATAATAACATTGTTATCACATTTGCGGTAGCATCTTTTCCTCAAAAATAGAATTGGCATACTTTCAGCTCAAAAAGTCTCAGAATCCTACAAAAAAAAAATTAGAACAGCGTTTTTTTCACCAAGTGACTAAGTGAAAAAATGATTAAAAGTTTGGAAGTGATTTTTTTGAGTTTTTGTAGATGCTAATGTTCTTAATCACATTTCTTGCTCTTACTACGTCTACTTGGTAATATTTCGAGCGTTCAATCAATTTCTTCTTCAACTCAAACTGCACAAACATTTCTTTCAAGAAGAACGACCTGATGCCATTTCAAATTGGAATTGAAATGCTGAAAAAAAAGAAAAACAAGAAAAGCGAAGAAAAAAAGAAACAAATCGCTTTGTTATCCATTTCAATTTCGAAACACTCAAAAAAAAAATTTCATTTTTCAATCTATGCATCAGCTACACTGTGCTTGCATTGAATTTGCTTATAACTGACAATCTTCCGACTTTGTTGTAAGTCTGAAAAAAAAAACTAAAAAAAATTTTTGCACAACCAACTTTCAGGTTTTTGCTTCACAAAGTTTCTAAAATACAGAATTAATATCAGACCCAACATCCAATTCCATCTTCTTTGAGAAGAAATTAGGACAGCACTGCTTAACCGACTTTGCAATATTTATCATTATTTAGTAACTTTGGTTGTATTCATCTATTTTCGAAGGGGAAAAAGGCTAGCTTCTATGAGGCTGAACAATTTGAGAACATCGCGCTTTCTTTTTTGTTTTGATCTACATTAGAAATTTCAAGCAATTGTTGGTATACGCAAAATGCGGTTGTAACACAGCAGGAAAGGAAATTTCTTTCACTTTCAGTACTTTTCAGATCACAACCCTTGGTATGTTCACATAGTGTTTGGCGAAATGTGAAGTAGAATTGTTTTCAGAGAACATTTCTGCTGAAAATTCTGAAATTGAAAGAGATAAGGTTTCTTTACACGGTTGAAACTCTTCATAATTTTTTTCAAAGAAAAATGAATAGTTATTACCATAGTTTCCAATTGCTAGAATTTTTTTTCTCGTCATCATAAAAATTTATTCAGGAAGAAACTGATATTCAAAATAAACCTTATACTGGAACAGACCAAATTTTTCGCTTAAGAAAAACACCACTCCACATAAAAATCAAATCTTCAAGATTCTTTCCTCAAACTCCGACTTGATATTGATTATTTAATGTCTCCACCAATCTGAACTTATTCAAAAATATTGTTATAAAGAAAACGTTTTTGCACGGGTTACTTCACTTTCACAAGCGCTTTCGAAAAGAAAAACCAAGCATTTTCTTAGTTTCTAAATTGAACCTCACAAAAATATCAAATTAGTACAACAGATTTGAGAACAATCTTTCTTATTTTCAATTTTTTTTCATCAACACATGAATGATCTCGATCGAAAAAAACAACTCTGAATTACAAATTCACAAAAACTCACATTCATTTTTGGCAGTGAAAATCCTAACTTGAAATCTTTTTTCTCACAAGAGCTACGAATTTTTCAATCATCCACTCTTCCGAAATTTGTCATCCATTAGAGCAACCTCTAATTCGTTTGCAGGAACATTCATGAAGAAAGAACACTCTAAAAACATTCTCGAACTGAGAAGAAAGACATTTTCAAAAAAAAAAAAAAGAATTTGGTTTATTTTTTTTTTGAACATCGAGAGAAAGGAAAAAACATTTTTTTGGAGGAGGATGTGAAATGTGCAACTTTTGCCGGTCTCAAGGTTATAACTTTCAGCAAAAAGGCAAACTTTTCAATTCGCTATTTTAGAAGCTAGAAGAGCAGATCCCAGAATTATATGACGCAATCAATTTTTAATAAGCTTATTATTTTTTGCAAGAATTTCGAAACCAATTTTATCGCAAGCACTTTTAGGTGCCTTACAATATGAGGTACCTGAAAAATTCAAAACTATTACTTCTACCGAACACAAAAAAGCAATTTCCACTTCTGTTGCTCAATTCAGATGTGTCTGTTTACACCACAACCGTCACTACATACAAAGTGATAAAATGGCACACTTTTTTTGCAGATCGGACTACTTTTGAGATGTGTGAGCAAGGCTAGCATAAAGTCTGATTACTATTTACTTCTTTCGCACTCCTGAATTCAACGACAGTAACGAAGAGCTCGGCCAAGCTCAGTTTCTGCATGTTAAGAAAATTCAAAGGTAGTGATGGCAGTTTAGTCAAAAAGATTATGCTTCTGGATGAACGTTTTTTTTTTTGAAAGATTTCGAGTTGTTTTCCATGACGTAATTTTTTCTATTGATTGTGCACAAATCTGATGAAAAAAAAACTTTCTTTTACAAAATTCGTTCATCGTCCTGTTTGCACTGACTTTTTGAGTTTGACAACCCGAAAGTGCAATAATTTTTTCTAAGTAATTCACATCGGCTCGTTGCCTCAGCATTTCTGGATAAGACCTGTAATCACACACTCAAACAATGAAGAAACTCGCAAAATGGTTGTAAAACATGCATCGATTGTAACAGTTCATTGAAAACCGCGCTCATGACTTTGATTCTAATTAATGGACACACTATTGGTAAGAACATTGGAATATAGCAGTTCCTCCAATTTTGTGCAATTGCACAAACCAAGTCTGCATTACGTTGTTAAACGTAGCAATCAGAACTACAATTAAAAATATTTTCAGAGAATATTACTTGTAGCTGAATGGAGATTGTTTTCAGAGAACAATTCTCTTTTAACCGAAACGCTTCACAGAAGAAATAACTTGCTGTTTGCCAAAAAAAAATCCTCAGCGCTTCTGAACATGTTGAGATATCCAGATTGATATTCTGATCGGAAGCAATGACCGCATTTTTTTGAAAGGTGATCAGCCGAAGTTAACCATAAGCAACGGAAGGCATAGTTTTTTGTCACACTGAAATTCATTCCTGGGAATGAAAAAGAAACTGTTTAGAACGTTTCACGTCACCCAGTCCTCGTTTTTTCCCTAGAAAACGATGGTGATGATTCCTTTACAGATTTCAGCAGAATTCAGGAACAATCATACCATAGAATTTTCTATACTGGATCTGGACGTTGAAGAAACATAGAAATTCATAGATTGCAAATTAGTCGTGAATTACCACATGATGTTAGGATCATTTCCGCTGAAGTTCGTATACTTATAATTCAAAAGCTACGTATCGTAGTTTCTGCGGTGGAAACGTTCTATTCGCATAGTTTACTATGCCATAATGTACTGCTAATTAATTTTGTATGATTTGGTTTGCGTTTTTCATGTTGTCTATGTCGAAAATGGGCTAATGCTTCCAAAAACGCACTATTTCAAAAAAAAAACGATTTAAAAAAAAAGGAAACATCAGAACATGAACGACATCATGTTTGTTTTGTTCACGAATGTAGTCTTGAATTTGGTCGCAAGACTGCAAGACAATTTTATGCAACTCAGTTTGGAAAAAATCCGACTATCAGAGTTTTAATTTTTTTTCTGCTGTCGAGATATTTCTCAACGTGAGTTTGTTTACACCTATTTTGCCGCACCGCTGCGATTATCTATAAGCACAAATTTCTTTGAAACGGCAGTTCAAAGAATGGAAAAAATATTTTGTTCTAGGCAGCGAAAAAAAAATTTCCCTTTTCTCTAACACTCAAAATTTGCCACTATGTTGAATTAAACACAGTTTGTTGTGCTCAATTCTGCATCTAAATCTTCCTCTCCGTTTTCTAATCGATCGCATTATTTATATGCTGTATAACCATATGTCACTCGGTTCAAATTATACAATGCCTTATTTTATTATACTTCCTAAAATTCCACATGTTGCTTAACTACTTCATGTAAAATATAAATTCAGAATCACTAATGTCATCCAATATCGCTCAATACTTTCGGTTTCTATGTAATTTCTGCTCACCACGCTATTTTTTTTATTAACATGTTCTCAACAAGTTCCCTTCCAACCCACAACTTCCCCGTATCAACATTCAAATACCGGTCACATTATACTCCTAAAATCTCCACGCCAACTATTCCCCTTTGTCAATTTCCGAGATATAATACGCTGTTCACTTCCTACAACTACATGTTACTGCCTCTTCCAAGCAGTCCCCTACGTCACATCGTTCATTCCGTATATCTCTCCGCTTGAGGACAAGCTCGCTCTATACCCCTAGGATGAGGTGAAGGTCGTGTTTGGTTAACCAATCCGCCTAAGCCAACTCTTCTACTCAATCAAGCAGAAGATAATGGTACCGAAATCGGAGTTCCTTATGGTCTCGCCGTAACACGTGTACTCCTTACACACGTGACTCGGAAGACGTTCAACAACAGCCGAACAAGCTCGAGGACGAGCTTTCTGAAGGAATGGAGATGTCGGGACGCAGCTAAGCTCCGCCTGCTGCTCTCCCGTGAGCTGGCCGAGAAGGTCCCATAGGAGCCAGTGACCCCCTACGACCGCGTCCCGTAAGGCTGCCTAGTCAGTCTTCCCCCTTCCCCTTTCTTGTAATATATGTAGATAATAAATATATATAATAACAACCTGTACCGCTACACATCAAGCTAGGGCCCGTACACCCCTAGACTTGACAAGTATCAATATCATATTCTCAAGAAGTCGCGCTGGATCAATCAAATTCAGTGTATGGTTGAGGCTATTGTTTTTATCCTCACATGCTGCTCCAAAAAGGCAGGAACACAAACAAAGGGCTTGCGATCGCAAGTAGGGTAAGACAGATAAGACGAAATGGCTCGTTCACCTACGTTGCATGACCCTATCACATTGCGACTACTTGAACGCCCATTGAAAATTTCCAATTGCTATGCCCAGATTGCAGGGCAGCAAGAATATTCGTTGTTATGGATGGTTATGATGTTATTGTAGTTGGAGCCGGAATATTCGGTTCATGTACGGCGTATCATTGCCAGAAAAGAGGTCTAAGGACGATTCTTATTGAACAGGTAGGAGCTTTGTTAGTACTTTCTCCAACTGGAAGTTCTTCATTTGAGCATCAGCATTTCGGCCACAAATTCTCTCTGTTTGCATACTATGTCTAAGAAACACTTTAGCCGCCTATACATTGAGATTTGCAATCGTTATGATTTTGGAAATAGTCTAGTCTCACTATAGTGAAACAAGAAAATTCAACTACAATTGAAAATTATTATACTATAACTGTCCTCGCTGGGTGAGAATGCAATTTTGGTTCATACTATAATAAATTTCTCTTCAAAACACATGACCTCAAAATTCTATAGCGAGGCTAAATCTTTTCGAATGATTAGTAAATGTGACTGATCGGCTAGCAAAATTCTGCTTCTTTTCGTACTTGCGAGAATTTGGGGTTAATCACACCATATTTCCCAGCTTTCTTTATGTTTCTTAGTTCCTTGCAAAATGTTTTCCGTATTGTTCGCGCTCGCAGTATTCTTCTGCCGACAGGCGGGAAACTTTGATTGATCCTCTGTTCTACACTGCAAGTCTACTATATACGCAATGTTTTTTTATGTTCACAATCATTTATCACTCAGTTCAACCTCGGTCACAAAAATGGAAGCTCTCATGGAATGTCGCGAATTATTCGGTATGCCCATACTGAACCTGAGTACGTACCTCTTGTTCGTGATGCTTATCAGCAGATAGCAGCTCTGGAACGGAAGATTGGTGAGAGTTTGTGGAAGTGAGTTGGCTTTCATCTTATATATAAGCTGAATGTCTGTTTGTATGTCTGTCTGTATGTCTGTATGTATGTACGTATGTTCCGAATAGAAAATTCCATTTCTGAACCGATCGGGACCAAACTTGGCACACATACACTTCGGGCCCCCGGGTGTCATAGGCTACTTTTCGTATCGATCGATATCGATTTTATCGATTTTTTGCAAAATTTGAGCTACGGGGCTGGGAGTTGGCACAGGGGGGTAAGTGAGGGGATTCCGAATACAATACAGGGTGTCCCAAAAGTGACTACACACTTTTCAATCGTTAATATCTCTCTTCCCATTGTGTCTTTTTCCATCATTCAAGTACCATTCTGTAGAGGAGGCTTCAACTTAGGTCTACAGTACCGAGCGAATTACCGATCGCTCTTCATTACTGTAGGATTACTGTAAGAACTTCGACAAGGATTTTAAGCCATTGGAAGCCATATTTTGCCTCGGAACAAAACCAAACAAGTCAAAAACTCTAACACTATGGTAATGGAAGCCGCTGATTTCGAGTATGAAATTTCCGCTTTACTGTGATGCTTCTTTCCAAAGTTATCCCAAGTAAACCGTAATAACCGAATTTCCAGTATCAGTTTGAAATGTGATTACACCTTCAAAAAAAAGCTGAGAACTCGTAAAAGGTTGTGTAGTGGAATCAGCGTGCGCGAAAATCTTAGTACACGATTTTTCAACTTTTTTGAAAAAATTTTGTCAGATGGCATATTTCACAATGGTTCCACGTGCTGGAAGTTCTTACCGTAATCCTACAGTAACGAAGAGCGATCAGCGATTCGATCGATACTGTAAATCTAAGTTAAAGCTTCCTCTACACAATGACACTTGAATGGTCAAAAAAGACCCATTGGGAAGAAAGATATTGACGATTGAAAAGTGTGTACTTACTTTTGGGACACCCCGTATTAGTTTTTAAAATCGTGCATTACTTTTATCGATTTTATCGATTTTTTTGCAAAATTTGAGCTACGGGGCTGGGGTTTGGCACAGGGGGGTAATCGAGCATGCTGATCACCCCCACTGGGGTGATCAGCATGCTCGATTACACCCCCCCCCCCCCTGCCAAATTCCAGCCCCCTAGCTCAAATTTTGCAAAAAAATCGATAAAATCGATAAAAGTAATACACGGTTTCGAAAACTAATATTGTATTCGTGATCAGCATGCTCGATTACCCCCCTGTGCCAAATCCCAGTCCCCTAGCTCAAATTTTGCAAAAAAATCGATAAAATCGATAAAAGTAATACACGGTTTCGAAAACTAATATTGTATTCGTGATCAGCATGCTCGATTACCCCCCTGTGCCAAATCCCAGCCCCCTAGCTCAAATTTTGCAAAAAATCGATAAAATCGACATCAATCGATAACGAAAAGTGGACTGTGACACCCGCCGGGGCCCGAAGTGTATGTGTGCCAAGTTTGGTTCGGATCGGTTGAGAAATGGAATTTTCTATTCGGAACATACGGCGGAGCCGGGTATGCCAGCTAGTCGACTTATAAAGATAAAGGGTAAAGGTCTGAAGGATTCGACATCTTCAAGACCCTCTGCGGACATGCGCCGAACGCACACTACTTCATAGTCGAAGAGGCAAATGTATGCGTGTGAGCCTAATACAATGACATGAGATACTTGAATACAGGGGACGAATGGCGTGATGGTATGAGGCGTTGCTGTAACCAGATCGGACACAGGTTCGATCCCTGCCCCTAGGCCAACCAAGGGCCGCATGCACTAACATCCCCGCTGGGGAGGGGATCGCAGCTCAGAAGAAAGCTTCATATTCTGAAGCTCCAGATATCTAGACCTCACGCTGTCTACCTGTCCGCAAGTATTCCTACTATCCTTGAGAACATATTGTACAGGAGCGAGAAGCTGTACAAGCCGCATTTTCCAGCTTTTGTATGATCCCTGACGATCCCCGGTGCTTTTCTTCAAAGACATTTTTCTTTCTTTGAAGTTAACGAAAACCTTCCAAAGTTGTACAATTATCTAACACAACAGTGCCAAGCATGTTACTGATAAGAACAAATGAGTTTTCGAAAAATCGGATTTTTCGATAAACCACAACTTTCGACTTGTGGTTCATCGCAAATTTCATGACTCCGATACATCACTTGTTCTTATCAGCAACATGCAAAGCAGTGTTGGGTTAGATAATCTGCACAACTTTGGAAACTTTTCGTTAACTTTGGAGAAAGAAAAATGGCTCTAAAGAAAAGCGCGGGGATCATCAGGGATCATACAAATGCTGGAAACTGCGGCTTGTACAGCTTCTCGCTGCTGTTCAATGTGTTCATAGTGAAGGATAGTAGGAATACTTACGGTTACGTACACAACGGGAAATTCAGATATCTGGAGCTTCAGGGTATGAAGCCTCCCTTTGAGCTGCGATCCCCTTTCCGCGGGGATGTTAGTGCATGCGGCCCTAAGCCTTCTATCCATCCTATTAAGATAAACAGAAAATGAATCAAACTGATGGACTTCGCTGCTCTATTGCGCCTAAGGATGTACCCTATTTTTATGAATGTGCGCTTTGTTTACACCAAAAACGAAGACCCAAATAGCAAGAGCATTCACTTAAAGTAGCCTTTTCACAAGATGTATATCGTTCAAAACTTGGACGACATAACGAAGCAACATTCGGAGTCTGCTAAACGCTCACTGGACGAAGTTACAGACATTTATGGTGGTCACAATTACATAAGAATACGCTTAGAGTCAGCGTCCACCCTGAACTAGGGGTCGGGAGCTTTTTGCAGACCATGAATTAGGGGTCGTGAGTTTTTTGCAGCATACGATAGTAGGCCCCTCTGCCAATGCCTAAGTAACGGCGCAAATTGCCGCTTCGAAAGCGAGAAAATCCCTCAATGGCGAAGAGGCATGAGTACCCCAAGTCGTCACCGCCCTCAGTAACGCCCGTCCAAAGAGAAGTGGAAGATACAGTCCGTGCAGATGCATCTACCCTCCGTCTCATGTGGAGCTCCAACTGGAATGACTCCGGCCCCGCGCGGCCACCTCGACCGGAGGCTGCGCCGCCTTCGCAAGCTTGTTTTCTGACCATTTTCCCACGCCTAAGTTTCCCACATAAGTTCGCCTCTGAGCCCCCTTTAGCATATATGAGAAGCTTTTCTTCAGTCAGCGTTTGAGGACCTCCAAGTAATGAACATAGTGTTCGGATACACCACTTATCGCGCACTGCTACGCATATATTGCTGTGAAACTCGCTGATTTTTTACAAATTCCTTTAGGGCATCCCATCTTGAAAGCACGGTCCCTCGGCGCCTTCGCCTTCAAAATAATCAAGGTGCTGTTTATGCACATGCAAATGGAAGAGTAGGATTTCATACTTGAACGTTTTCGTTGGGTCCGCTTCCTACTAGTTAAAGGCAGTGTCCAGGCAAATTTAGGCCATGGGTTTTTGCCTGGAAACTGGTGCGGAGGTCCTTACAAGGGCTCAGCACGAGGTGGCTTTTTCATTCTTCCGAAAACAAAGTCCCCACTGACTTCGCAGCTAACATACGACATCCCCTATGACCACTAATGATTGAAACAAACAAAACGAGCAAAGAAGAATAGTGGAAAACGAAAGAACACGAAATTGACGGTAAAAACAAGTACTCATTTTCGTATTCAACGAATTGGCGGCATACTTTGTCCATCGCACACCATCGCGCGCCTGGAGCAGCATTGCCCCCACTACACAAAATCTTTCGAGGGCTGTAACTAGGCGGGGAGGAGGGCGTTTAAGGAGGTTCAAAAACTGGTGTGTAGGGATTTGGATTAAGAACAAAACTATGTGAAAATTTTGAAAACATTATGTGAAGGGAGTGAAATTTATGACTTTTTCTTTTTACAGCCACCTCAGGTGACTGTTCAGGTGGCTGTAAAGCCACCTAACTCCTAAAGAAGTTTGCCACGACTCTAGTTCACATAAGTTTTTCGTAATTTTCTACACAGAGTTCCATCTCCTCATTGCCCATCTACACACCAATTTTGGTGTCATATCATTTCCTTTCCGCTGTAAACATGGCTTTTGTCTACCTCGGGGCGTATTATTTTTGAATTCCCGCACTTCCACGGATCGCATATTGGAGCGGGAAATTGTTGGTTTTGCAGAGTGGAGTTCTACAGGCAGTGCTGAGCACTTGTGATGTCTCCACAAGATTGGTAGGTGGATTAGAAGGGGGTGGGGGGGGGGTGCAATTGTGCGCTCCGCCAAGGACCCCGCAAAAACGATATCCGCTTTGCTTCCTACTCCAAAACGATATCCAGCCTGCCCGGTAAGCCACCTTTGCTGAGCACTGGTCCTGACTAAGACACTGCCCAAATGGCAGCGCAAATAATTCAGTCACGGCTGAGAAATACGTCCCCAAACACTCCGCGCACGAGTGGCTTGAGACGAGTTCCAGCGCCAACGTAGCGTCAAAGTGAGCGAAGTCGTTTCTCTGACGGTCACGGCGCAGACGCGGAGGGGTTTGGGGACGGATTTCTCAGCCCTGAATAAATCGTTTTCGCTGCTACTTGGGCAGTGCGTTAGTTAGGACCAGGGTCGAGCAAGAGATGTTGCACAGAAACGCCGGATACGCCCCCCCCCACCACCACCAGCATTATCGTTTGCCTTCCGTAGGCATGACATAAAGGCTCTACCATGCATAATTAGGCACATATTCGTGACTATCATGTCAAATAACCCCTATAGGCAAAGTCTAGCAAATTCTGAGGGTTCTCAATATTGGACCACCCAAGTGAAGTGGTCATTTTCAAGCACGATTGACTTTACAAAAGTGAATCACCTAACTCTATGTGTAATCAATACAAAGCATTACTCCATACTTACTCAAACCATGAATCCTGCTTCCAATAACCATCAAACTGCGGAATTAGGAGCAGGCTAAAATCGCGTTTGTCCTATTAGGTATTCGCTTTTAATGGCTGCGCTTGCACCAGCTATTTAGAGCGAAGAAGATGAATCAAGTCCAAATTGCTCCTATGAAAACTACAATACTAAGGCTATCAAACTATCTGTGTTTGTTCGCTAAAATTCTTTCCGGGGGTAAGTCGATGGGGTGTGGCAAATCTAAAAAAAGTTGTGGCTACCACATCTTTTTAGGGGTTGTGCCACACCCCACTGACTTACCTTCAAAGCATTTGAATCTCTTATTTATTTATTTATGTTGAACCTGCTACTGTTGAACCTTCTTCTCCACATAGCAGGAAATTCATTCAAAATTGTTTCTCTTAGAGAAATATATGGTCGTTTTTCTTTAGCTTTGCAAATGGAAAACACTGCGAAAATATTGGATTACGGTAACATGCTAAGTCTGCGGCACTAGAATCGGGAGGAAAGTCGGCAAGAACAAGTATATTTGATAGCCTGATCCTCGTAATTTTCACAAAAGATTTGACCCTGATTGCTCTTCTTTTGTCTGAGAAACTGAAAGCGAAAAATGTGACGATCGAGATTTTGGCTTGCTCTTGATTTCAGATTTCGGAGGTTAGTTAAAGTGGGATTCCTAGTATTACTTCTATTACCAGTAGTATTACTTTGTAATAAGTGCAAAAAGAAGTAGTTTACTCAGCTTTGAAACAAAATTAACATGTTCGAAATGTCCACCTCACTTGAGTGTCCAATATTTGGAAACCTCAAAATTCGCTGAAATTGGCCCACAGGGGTTATTCGACATGACGAAAATGATGCTCTTATGCTTTTAGGATTCCTCTATTATGCTTGCTGCGCATTTATGACGGCAGGCCAAAAAAACACTGCTATCTTGCACTGTAGGCCTATCAGACATTGTTGACTAACATTATATCGCTCCCATCACTATCACCTCCTCGATAACAACCCCCTCCTCTACCCCTGACCCCTCTACGACCCCTAGGTGTGGCGTGCCACACCCACGCTTGACCCTGGTTAGGACCCCCTCGTTAGTTTCCAGGCGAAAACCCATGGGCCCAGATTTGCCTGGACGCTGCCTTTAAGCTCAGTCGTTATAGTACAAAGTTATTCATAGTGTGGTTTAGAAAAGGGTGGAGGACTATATGTCGCCGAATTTGGGAGAGTCCCGCGCCGATTCCCTGCAGGAACGCATGTCCTCGCATGTACAAGGATGCATATTTGTCGCAAATGACCGCGGGGACCGCCCTTTTTCGGCGACATATAGTCCTCTACCCTTTAGAAAACATCAAACAATCTTGTAATGCATACTTTGTTTGGAGAGGCTTGCCCTCAAATGGCGTACTATAATTCTTTCAGCCGAATGACAATACAACACTGCAAACGACACAGACACTTTCCCGTACTGAGCTTTTTTTTTCAGGCGGACAGGACTTTTGTGGGTATCGAAGCCCGAAGAGATAACATCCATATCAAAGATACTGCACGACTTCAACATTGAGCATGAGACTATATCTGGAGAGGAGGTCGGCTTACTTTGTTCACACTTACAAGCCAATCAAGGACCGCAGAACAAGTTTTACGATGACGTTAACATGACAATTTATAGACTTCAAAGCATGATGACATACGGTCGAATCATTTCAAATGATCATGTGTGTAACTGCACACACCGTCCATCTTTCACGTCCTCATCCTGGATTTGCAATCGCAAATCGCAAGAGACTAACCGATTGTAGTTGCTTACATCATTTTGAAGCGATTAATACCTAGAAAGGAAAGAAAATATTAAGAACACATCAAAAACACTCAACTAAAGGGTTGTCCCTTCCGAGAATTCAGGATGGGGACGCCAAAGGTGGACGATGTGTGCACTTACACACATGATCATATGAGATTCGACTGCAGTTAGTAGGTAAAATGGGAACAGTGAATTGACGAAAACAGTTATGTGGAGGAGATCAGTGATGCTTTTTTTGCAGTGTCTTTGAGTAGCTTGTGGACATTCTCAATCACAAAGCACTTTCTCCTCGATTTAGAAATTATGGACGCCCTTCTCATAATTCCGAGGCTCCGTATAAAGGATACGTCGACGACTGCTCCGACTCGTGCAATTACACCACCTTGGGCGTGCCTTATTGGGGCCTTTCCAGCTGTACAGTACGCTACAGCACGCAGGAACTTGGTTGCTCGCAGCATCCCTGTCCTTTCCCTGTCCTGTCCTGGTCCTACTGTCAAGTTGGAAAGGCTCCAAAAAAGGACGCCCACGGTGGTGTAACCGCACTAATTGGGGCAGTCGTCGACGAATATCCTTTAACACTCCCAAAAATGAGAGAATGCAACTTGCTTCCTCTGAAAAAATGATGTGGCCATAAAGTGGTCGCGGAGATCACTCATCCTTGTGCTATGATTTTTAGCTCCTATGACTGTGCACGCTCTCCTTTCACTGCGCGTTTGCCAATTCAACAAAATAGTTCCATTCTTCGACTTTAGGACAGAAATAAAACGTTCTTCTAAGAATGACGTGAAAACTCGACGAACTTGTTTCACTAGAGCTGGGGCTAGCAACTCGCATGGAAAACGGTGCTTTTTGCACATCAAATGAATTCTTCATAGTGAAAGCTCGACTTTGGTCTAAGAATGTACTCGGAAAATCATGCTTCAAATATCCATCGACACTTACTGTTCCGCTGAACATTTGAACTGCTTTTGAGGCAATCGTATCTCGTAGCTCTCAGATACAATACCGCTCACAGAATGTGCAAATTTGCCGTGAATGTCGCAGAATTCCAGGAATTCCGCGAAGGTTCGCGAAATTTCTGGAATTCCGCGATATTCCGGAAATTTCGCGAAATTCATGTGAATCACGCAAATTACGCAGGGCCATAACTTCTTTCCGAATGAGTATGTTCGAAATCCGAAACAGCATTGTATTCAGCTCGTCAAGGCGAATCTTTTGGTATACAGGTTGTGTCCAATACCTTGTTTTCAATAATCTTGAATTTGCACGCGGACGCCTTTTCGCGTGGGTGTAACGGAACGAGCATCACACGTAGGAGACTGCCGTGGGCACCGTTCATAGCACTCTTTCACTAGATTATCGTGCGCTAAACAACAGCCGAAGATTTTCTTTCAAAAGAGATAGAAGAGCTGATAAATTTGGAAAGATCAAGCTGTTCCAAGTTCTACTAGCCGTAACTTGCTTCAGAATGAACATTTTCGAAATCCAAAAGCAGCATTGTGTTCATCTCGTCAAGTCGAATCTTACTGTATACAGCAGGCCCTTGAAATTCCCGTTTCCAATTTTTTCAAAATTTTCTGCGCGCGTATATTCACAAGGTCGCAACGCAGCGCACATCAAACATAAAAGACTACAGTAAGCATTGTTGGACTGTGCTGCTTTCGCAGATTATCGAGCGCTAAAAAGCAACCGGAGAATCTTCTTGAAAAAAAGTAGAGGAGCTGGTGAATTCTGCAAAAATCGCGTTGTCTCAAATTTTGCCCACCGTGACCCTAAAATGAGAAGCTCTACTGCTAAGCAGATGTGATTTTCGTAATCAGCAGGTAGATAACCTCTATGAGCAAGTTTTCAAAGAAATTCGGGTGATTTGATTTTTTCTCGTTCTACGCCCTGAAGCTCGCCGATGTGTTTTGGTCGAAATGTCGATGATCTTGGATCGTATGAAAACTCCGCTCAGAGAGGTTTTCGAACACGCTGTTTACGATAATCGTAGTCTTTGAGGACTACAGGGTCTTTTTGGAGAGATACGGTGAGGTGACTGTAGCTGCATCACGAAAACTTTGCCCGCACTTCACGCGTATCTGTCAGAAAACTTGCCTGCTTGCTTTTCTAATTCAAAGTTACCAGGATTTGTGCTATCGAATGGTGCATGACTCAGGCTCCAGCCTGTAAAATTCGCCGAGTTACGAGCCTATGAAATCACGTCCTCATGAGTTTTGCCCAAAATGTCAAGATCGCCTGTTTCGTAGAAATTCCACCTAAGTGACTGTAAGATACTGTGGTCGCGAATTTTATGTTCAACTCGAAAGATCCTTGAGATCTTATTGTATTGGATCTGGTGGTTGTGTGTGCCTGAGCCCTTAGGTGAATATCAAAGCAGATCCGTGGCTAGAGCTCAGATCTATTAAATTACTTCCAGTACAGCAGGATAGATTCCTTAAGCGAAGTAAACACAAAATTGGTGAACACAAAATTCTTACAGTCACTTAGGTGGAATTTCTACGAAACAGGCGATCTTTACATTTTTGGGCAAAACTCATGAGGACGTGATTTCGTAGGCCCGTAACGATTGCTACAGATTGAAGCCAGATGCATGCACCGTTCAATAGCACACTTTCTAGTGAGTTTAACCTGTAGAGGCAAGCAAGCAGATTTTCTAAGAGGCGCTCGAAAAATGCAGGCGAATCTACGAACTTTCGTGGTTTAGCTAAAGTTCCCTCACCATATCTCTGTTAAAAAACTCTGTACTCCGCGCAAAAGACAATTATCGTAAACAGCGTGTTCGAAAACGTCTTTGAGCGGAGTTTCCATACGATCCAAGATCATCGACATTTCGACCAAAACACATCGGCGAGCTTCAAGGGCGTAGAACGAGAAAAAATCAAATCACCCGAATTTCTTTGAAAACTTGCTCATAGAGGTTATCTACCTGCTGATTACGAAAATCACATCTGCTTAGCAGTAGAGCTTCTCATTTTAGGGTCACGGTGGGCAAAATTTGAGACAACGCGATTTTTGCAGAATTCACCAGCTCCTCTACTTTTTTTCAAGAAGATTCTCCGGTTGCTTTTTAGCGCTCGATAATCTGCGAAAGCAGCACAGTCCAACAATGCTTACTGTATCTTTTATGTTTGATGTGCGCTGCGTTGCGACCTTGTGAATATACGCGCGCAGAAAATTTTGAAAAAATTGGAAACGGAATTTCAAGGGCCTGCTGTACACAGTAAGATTCGACTTGACGAGAGAACACAATGCTGCTTTTGGATTTCGAAAATGTTCATTCTGAAGCAAGTTACGGCTAGTAGAACTTGGAACAGCTTGATCTTTCCAAATTTATCAGCTCTTCTATCTCTTTTGAAAGAAAATCTTCGGCTGCTGTTTAGCGCACGATAATCTAGTGAAAGAGTGCTATGAACGGTGCCCACGGCAGTCTCCTACGTGTGATGCTCGTTGCGTTACACCCACGCGAAAAGGCGTCCGCGTGCAAATTCAAGATTATTGAAAACAAGGTATTGGACACAACCTGTATACCAAAAGATTCGCCTTGACGAGCTGAATACAATGCTGTTTCGGATTTCGAACATACTCATTCGGAAAGAAGTTATGGCCCTGCGTAATTTGCGTGATTCACATGAATTTCGCGAAATTTCCGGAATATCGCGGAATTCCAGCAATTTCGCGAACCTTCGCGGAATTCCTGGAATTCTGCGACATTCACGGAAATTTTGCGCATTCTGTGAGCGGTATTGTATGCGTCAACTCAGACAATCGCAAATGACTTCCGAGGAAAACTGAACTTCTAAAACCTCCGGGGCGGACGTCCTATTGAGCCGTGTAGGTGGGCACCGTCCTACCTGGAAGCTCCATCAGAAGTGTCCCCCGAAAGATTTAGAACTTCAGTTTTCCACGGAAGTCATTTGCGAGGCTGAGAAATTGATCTAATTCGATGATAGTTATGTATCACACAGGTTGGCTTCCGTTATCCACAATTCTCCTTTGGCAACAACTGGGCGGCTCTAATCGATCCAGAAGGAGGTGTACTGTATGCGGATAAATGGCTACGCACTTTTCAGGTGAACGGTATGAACAAACCAGAAAAAAAACATAGCTGCACATTAACTTTGATCAATAGTTTTCAATACCATAAGCAAAGAAATGCTACTACAGTGCTGGCCAAAATTATAGGTCCACTCTAAAAAATGCCATAACTCACTCTGTTGTGGATGAAATTTTCCAAAATTTGGTAGAGACGTGTGTTTTCCAGCCTACTATCAGTCTTCAAAACGGTCCTCGTTTTCGTTCGCTTATTCAAGAAAAAATTAGAAATTTTGAAAAAAGCAGGCTTGAAGGCTGGCCAAAATTATAGGTCCACCTGGAGTTTTTACTGATTAAAGCACTTCCTAGCTCCCGAATTTTTTTAGGTAGGCACACATCCAAAAACGTTAAACAGCTGCATTGGTCAAGTTGTGTCATACCTCCAAAAAGAACTGATTATCTGCTTTTTTGCCTTGAAGATGCACTCACATGTATTTCGCTCCACAAACCTGCGTTGAGTAAGAAATTCTGCAGTTTCTCAGCTGGATCGGAAGGCAAGGGGTTTCACCTATCTTCTGGATGCTTTTTGACGTTAGCATTGAGGAAAAAATCCGACTTTTTGCTGCTGAAGCAAATCTGACATTGACAGTACTGCAATCCTGAGCTCAAATTTCTGCCTTCAAACTTCTTTTACAATGTTCTCAGAAGCACTATGTAAAGTAAAGGCATTGTTTCTACGAAGGGAAGCCCACATTCCATGGTTACAACTTTCTAGAGATCCTAGCATTCGAGTATAATTGCTGAAATCACCCTCAGAAACTGATTACGACAAGCATCAAAGCTATTTGTGGCTCCGACCAAAGTTTTCAGAAGAATCATGTGCTAACATACACTACAAGCTGTATCCACTACCTAGTAAATAATCACTGTCAAAAATTTAAGTGAGGTAGCACTTGGAAAGCTTTTTTGGATCGCGTAACACCATTATTACGTTGCACACACAACTCATGTTTCGAAAAAGAAGCAAGGCAGCTTTGTGGACACTTGCGAGTATGGCGAACAGCTTTATTCTTGTGCAAAAAATGCTTCTACAATATCTTGAGGTTATAATGACAATGCATAAAGAGTTTTAGGGCAGAAACTGAGGCTTGCTCTGCCGATTAAGCCTATGTCAGATTTGCTTCAGCAACAAAAAGTCGAATTTTTTCCTCAATGCTCACGTCAAAAAGCATCCAGAAGATAGGTAAAACCTCTTACCTTCCGATCCAGCTGAGAAACTGCAGAATTTCTTACTCAACGCAGGTTTGTGGAGCGAAATACATGTGAGTGCATCTTCAAGGCAAAAAAGCAGATAATCAGTTCTTTTTGAAGGTATGACACAGCTTGACCAATGCAGCTGTTTAACGTTTTTGGATGTGTGCCTATTTAAATAAATTCGGGAGCTAGGAAGTGCTTTAATCAGTAAAAACTCCAGGTGGACCTATAATTTTGGCCAGCCTTCAAGCCTGCTTTTTTCAAAATTTCTGATTTTTTCTTGAATAATCAAACGAAAACGAGAACCGTTTTGGAGACTGATAGTGGGCTGGTAAACACACGTCTCTACCAAATTTTGGAAATTTCATTCACAACAGAGTGAGTTATGGCATTTTTTAGGGTGGACCTTAATTTTGGCCAGCACTGTATCAGTTAGACTGTATAGAATTAAGACACGATCATATATAACAGGGGAATGGTGAGAACTTGGTCCGGACAATCCAAACAAGCTGTATTTCGTCGCGCTCGCCTTAAAACTCTGTAAATATATGTTTATTATCTGCTAAGCGACTGTCTGGAGGGAGTGAGCGTTTGAAAGTGCGGATCACGTATTTTAGAACGCATGTTAATTATGTTTCTAGTGTGTGTCTTCTTCCCTTTGATCACAGCAGTTATAATCACTGTTATTACGCGCCTTCACTCTACCTTTCAAAGAACTTCACTCATCAAGACTTGAACAAGCTCTCATACATAGTCACGTAAGTCCTTCCACGTAGTCGCTCAGCTGAATCAGCGAGTTCAGCGTTTTGAGGCGAATACGATACACAGCTTTGGAGTGGTCATACTAAGTTGACCAATCGTAAGGGCTTCGGTTCTTAATTTACATGTGATCAGGAATGCTGCCGTTATTGACTGAATCGTTGTATTACAGTATATACATACGTGTTTCAGGACGAGTTTATTAGTCTTGGAGGAACGATACTAGAAAATGAGGAAGTGCTCTCTTACTCTGAAACCGACGACATTGTTAAAGTCACCACATCAAAATGCGTATTCCATTCCAAAAAAGTTATATTTACCGTAGGACCATGGCTTAGGAGACTCTTTCCCGATCTTCCGCTACAAATTCAGGTAGTTTCTCGAATAATACTAATGCAAAGTCCAATAGTTAATAAATTTTGTTTTCAATCTTCACCTTTTTGAGCGTATCAGTTCCTATTACTCGTGTCATTCGAGTTATTAGAAGCGCCAGAAAATGTGCTCTGAACCGGGGGGTGGCATAAAGAAGAGGGAGAATGAAGGAGGTGCTATCACCGGTGTTAGTTAAGTGATACAAATTTTGTTTCTTGGGTTAGGTATAATTGGTAGTCAACAGTCTGATATTAATACCCCCAATATTTTGTTGATGTTGACTCGACTACTTCACAGCTGGTCATGAAAATACTTGTTTAACCGTTTTCTGGTTAACCGTTTCGCGAGAATGGCTATAGCCGTAAGGATCTTAGTAAGAATCACTGAGCCGTCAAGGAATGTGCCATATCATTCGAATCTTGAAGTTATAGCCCCCTGCAGCAAGAAGAAATTAAACAATAAATAAATGATTTTACAAGTCTCTCGAAAATCAGTTGAGCCTTGTATACGCTTACGCAGATGAGTATGCAAGCTTGCACAGGATTTGCACTGCAGCGAAATTAGTTCATTTAAAGACTTGTACCTAGTATGTAGCTTCACCCTTGTATACGGGAGGGTGCGTATGTATTCTACAAAAATCTCCTTTGAAAAATTTCGGATCAAGGGCATCAAGTAATGTATGATTTAGCAGTGAATAATAACCTACTGTCATAGATGTGTTAACATTGCAAAACGAAAGTGTAGCTGTTCTTGAATTTCTTCTAGCCGGAGTCCATAGCAGTTTGTTACTGGAAAGCTGCTCGTAGCGAAGACGCTGCACTACTTGAAGGCGGCAAATTCCCCGTTTTCATAGCTCACAGCGACGGCGGCTTACCATTTGGTTTTTATGGCTTGCCTGCAGTAGATTATGCAGGTTGCGCAAAGGTATTAAAAAATTTTTTTAGACACCACACAGACATATAACACTTAGATTTGTTTCCACAGTGGTGAGCATATCGATGGTCCAACTCATCCGGAGAATGTCTGTCAGGTGAACTTCGAGCCACCGGCTTTCGTCAGATATGTTCAGAGTAAAATCAGGAACTTGCAGGAGTTCATTGACCACCCTGCCGAATTCATACGAGAACACATGCCAATTCTTGATTCTAGTGCTCCAGCTCAAATTGATAGATGCAAATATACGGTATACACATGGTGTATTACTCAAGCAATGAGGAGAAATTTTGACTCATTATTTAGTGTAATTGCAGGTATCTGAGGACAATCACTATGTGATTGGGCATTACCAGGAAGCTAAAAACGTGTTAATTGGCGGCGGATGTTCCGGAAGCGGATTCAAAGTTTGCGTTTTTAAGCAGGCATGTCAAAAATAATTCAAGCAATGCTTTCAAGGTTGCTCCTGGGATCGGAAGAGCACTATCGCAAATGGCTGCCAATGAGAAACCATCTATCGACATCTCGTTTTTCTCTTTTGATAGATTTCAAAAATCTAAGCAACAACTGGTTTGACCCATATATAACGCATGGGCAGCTTTGTGTCGTGAGATCACCTCTTTTACAATCTGCTCTAAACTTGTAGAAAAAGAGTATGCAGAAGCTATTTAGCGATAACTTTATTCTTCTGCGGAAATTCATCTTATGCAACAGTAAATGTCTTGATTAATCCACAGTTGAGTCCATCATAATTACCCTGAGAAGTACCGAAATAAGCTGTGTGTGCACTTGAATCCGTTCCTGTAATATATCACAGTCTGCCAAGGTGAATGTATACTGAATGTAACTGTATTGTTGAATAATACACCTGTGTTGCAAGAGGAATCCTCCGGCAAATCACACGTCTCCACTTCGCTAATCACTCCGAGGAATAGCCATGTTTTGTAGTTAATCACATACTGTAAATTATAACTAAAATGAATACTGAACAAGAACCCTATGAGTTCCCGGGTTTTCTCAGAGCTAAACTTCATAAAAACATTTTGATAAGTGGATAAGACACTCACACAGCAATGGAACCAACAATCTGTGCCGCTGTCTCGTTTCGGCTTCCCAAATGGATCGCAGGTCGATGCAGGATATTGCTAAAAAAACTGCTAATAGTTGCTGTGCTTCCTCACCCATTCTTTAAGTTTTCACTAGCTGGCGTACCGCGTCTTGCGCGGCCAACTTTTCAAATGTTTGGTCCTACAGCGACATACACGCTGCACGAAGAACAACCGTGTGGGTAGAGGACTATATGTCGCCGAGTTTGGAAGAGTTTCGCGCGGATTTCCTGCAGGAACGCATGTCCGCGCATGTACGTAGGGTGCGTAGTCGGCGACATGTAGTCCTCTACCCCAGCCGTATAGCTGGAATACTACTTCAATTAAAGATATCGGAACCGCTGCAGTTGCATTGGGATCGAGGATCAGTGATCAATGCCGCCCAAAAGAACATGCAGTGGAACACTGCATGTTCTTTTGAGCAGCATTGTGAAAAGCTGTGTGAGATGGATAAAGGTTCATTTTAAAAAGGCTTCAATTTAGCGGCTTGTTTTTAACACATCATCATGAAGGCGAGGCCTTTTTTATTCCTCATTCGCTCAGGATCAGTTACAACGAGTGCAAGGTCGCGCGGATATCTGCAAATACAGACCTCTTCACATCAAATTTGTGTCAACTCTTGCATGTGGAGCCCTACTGGCCACCTAATATCCTCTACACGTACGATGGTACAGCATAGACCCTCACATACTATCATTTCAAGTTTATCAAGTTTGTCAACGCTTGAGCTTGTTGCTCTAGAAATTATAAATAGCATGAAGTCACAATATTGTGCTTCTGGATTTACAACCATGTAACTTTTTCGACTCTTGCCATTTAGGACAGTCTTCTGAAATTCTTAAATAGTACCATTTCGAACGATATGACCCAGGGGTGAGTCAGATTGTCCGAAATGCTAATTTTCATTTTGAGAAGAATCTGAGAACTTGTGCAAAAAAGCTTGACGGGGGTTATTGATGGTGCTAGTTACGAAAACGTCGATCGTACGCATCATACGGCAAGCTTACAGTAGACAATCGGTGAAGAGTAAGAATCATGGACTTCAGGAAGTAGCAGTGCAGGGTTAAGTGGTAGCCTTTTGGCAAAATCCAAACTTTTGTTAGGAAAGCCACCGACGACTTCAAAAGTTGTCAGTAATCAGCATTAAGATTCACTGTACCACGCTAATGAAGCTTTGCTTATGTTAGATGTACCCAATCACCTTATTTTGTAAAAGTTATAGCTTTACAAGTGTAACCTAAGAGTGCTAGTACTGTCCAAAATTGCGGGTGGGTCGGCTCGTTGTGGGTCGCGTTTTGTAAGTATGTCGAAGGAGATACAGTCAAATCATTTTATATGATCATATGTGTCATTGCAGACACTGTCCACCTTTTGCGTTCCCATCCTGGTTTCTTGGAGGAGACAAACCTTCCGATAAGTATTTTCAATGTGTTTATAATGTATTCTTCCTTTTTAGGTGCTAATCAGCTCAAAATGATGTATGCAACTAGAATCGGTCACTTTCTTGCGTTCCTGCATTGAAATCCAGGATGAGCACGCCAAAGATGGAAGGTGTGCAATGCACACACATGATCATATGAAATGATTTGACTGTAAGCATATTAAGTGGACGGTAAAAAAACCGGATAGAACGCAAGAGGAGGATTCCCAAGTGCGCATGATTTATGACGTACATGCAGAATGTCAAATGTCAGTCAACCTCTCGCGAGTGGTAGTGAAAAGAACCTCTTACGTACCTCTTAGGCCTCGGACAGAGTTCACGCGATTTGATCGTCGCGATTCAATCGCTACAAGACAACTGTTACGAGTTCACTGCATGCCAATCAGCTTGCATTTCGGTTGTGATACTTTTCCAGCTCGAAATTTTTGAATGTAAAATTAAAATGAATGAGAATCGCGGCGATTAAATCGCGACGATCAAATCGCGTGAACTCTGTCCGAGGCCTAAGAGGTACGTAAGAGGTTCTCCGCTTTTGCAAAAGTCTGGTCACAGTCCGTCGACCTTCAACTTTCGTATCATACGAAAGACCTACGCGCTTTTTCTGAATCAGCTTGCTCACTTATGTGCTCGAGCAGCTACATGTCAGTATTCTGCGTCAGTGATACTACATATTGTCCCCATATTATTCCACAGCCAAACTGTCATTGGTTTTCATTTATTTCACTCTCTATTACTAAGAGAAAAGTCACTCACCGGAATGTTGTCAGCTAACCAGTTTATACGATATCTATGATACGCGGCTTCATCCATACGAGCAGCAAACTCCTAGGAGACTGTGGAAGCGTAACTTCAAAAATATGTGCTAAAAACCTGATCGCCGCAGCGGGGAGTGCCATATCCGTAGTAGACAATATTCTTTTTCCTCCACATGCCTGCACTCCTAATGGACACGGCTGCCATTTGCGCATTACATGATGCGACCGAGTGTCCTCCAATCTAGAATTGCTCCAAAAAAGATCGCGCTAAAGTAATATGTCATCGGAATGAAACGGTAATTATTACCATGAGAGTGAGGTCACAGTACTCTGCCCACAGCTCATTTACGTATGAGCTCAAACCTTGGACATTCCAAAGTCTGTTAAATGTAGTCAGAAACTGATCTCCAACCCGGCCCCTGCCATTGAAATCAACCAAGGACTAAAAAATCTCGTTGAAAATTTCTCGACAGTGATACGAGGTGTATCAGTATATATCACCTGAGCTGATATGGCACTCGCGGCAGACGATTTAAACGCGGCAATATTCGTTGGTCCTTTGAAGAATATCCCCAATGTTAATTCCTTGGCACTGAATACTACCTAAAAGTTTTTAATTGTACTGGCTTTTTCTGTAGTAGCAGAACGCGTTTGGTGCTTTCGTTGCTGATCTAATTGTGTCACTTGATGTTAGGCCCCCAATCCTTAGCAAAGAACCAATCCATAAACAACAATGCGTACCGTTGCTCGGCACTCTCCCTTCAGGATGGTATCACTGCAGTCTGCCGAGAATCTAAATGGGTATTTGAACACACGATCTTCCGGTGCACCAGTTAAACATAGTCCCTACGTTCTGAGTATAGTGTAGGAACTAAAGTGCTGAGGAATACATTTGGCAGGATTGGTAGCGCCAGCACATAGCGCCATATATAACATCTAAAGACATTCACACCGCCTTTGGTCCGCTTAGAAATTTTAGCAACCAAGCAACTCAACATTTTTTCCTGGCTTGATGTTGTATTCGTTGGATAGGGAAAGTACTAGCACAGGAAGCAGTGAAATTATAGCCAGAGTCGTCATGACAGGACGGATTTGATAAATGCATGATCGATGGTTTATTGAGTAACTCATTATCGCCAACGGTAAATCTGATTGGTGCAAGCGGGACCAGACATTGAATGGTGGATTATACAACGCTTGGCTGAAGGAGTACAATACAACTACTGGACTGCAAGCACATCCAATCTCATTCTATCCTTTTCCGTGACGAGTGCTGTGATACTCCGCTTGTTCGTCTAACTTATCCAAGCTGCCCAGAATCTCTCCATTTTAATCTAGTCAACACCTCCATGAACGCAGCCACTTTGGTGAACCGAACAGTATTTCAAGACTGATTTCACCAATCATTTTTCGTTCGTTTGATCTCATGCGCATGATCGCTAGGTACATGAACATTGTTCAGCTATAAATGTCATGAATTTGTCTTCGAATGGTAACAATGGGCACTTCAGGTTTGATTGCATAGGATTGCGATGCTAAACGCCCCACTCCTTTTGGCGACAGATACGTCATAGAGCAAGCAAAATGCACTATGCGCTCCGGGTATTTCGACCAAGACTTATTATGCATGTCACCTTCATCGATATGTTCGTCTTTTTGTTTCAAGCGAAGCATGGCAGATATTCCTTACTATTTACACCTTGCTGAGAATATCATTTTAGCAGGAACTGACTCAATTTGATATTTCGTTATGCATCTAGCAATAAATCTATCCAACAAAGTTGATTCCGGGTCATGTGTCTCGATATGAATCCACAGAAACACTTTTATTAAAACCGATAATCCACCGAGATTTTGCGCCTAAAACACAATCAACTCGCTCTGTATGCACAAGAAACATGTATATCCGGATATATACAGTCAAGTGAGTCAGGAGGCGCATAACACTAATAAGCTTTGGAACAACTCGTGTCCGGTCATGAATATAATACATATTTAGAGAAAATGGACCAGATGAAAATCTCCACGTACATTTACATCGAAAATACAAACGCGCTATGATAATATCTATAGCTCTCACAGGTAGATGAAACACTAGAACACTTGTGACGATCACAACTCTTGAGGCAATTGATCCTTTTCAAATACCCAAGTATGGGGAACGAGAAACGAAAAACACAACTGGTTCACAAGCAAACGAGACAATACATTTCGAGACGGTGATAATGTGAAACGCCATATAAAAAAGGACGCGACACCTCACATATACCACGGCGCACCCGCGTTCAAACTATCGGCGCAATCGATGCTGTACGCCGCTTCAACGGAACCGAGAAAAAGGAGGTGAATAGGGTAAGAGAAGGGAGGGCAGCTAGCAGGTTTGTGCGTAGGGTTTACACGTAAGTACAGCGGGTGTGGGATGACCGCCCCAGCTCCCGCTCTTGGAAGACGGCACACGACTCCATCGTTGCGTGGCGGCGCTGCTTCCATCGTCACCGCGGCCAGACGAAGTCACGTTTGACGGACGGATCTGCAGCAGCTTAATTGACTGGCTGCTACTCAAAACATAGCGAATTCTCACCGTCTGCACCATGTTATTGATGAGTTGCTGGTCTTTACTGTCGAGAAGCGCGAAAGTTTTGCTGAGTTTCGCAAGATGAGCCATCACTAAGGCGCACTGCGGTCGCAGTTCCAACTGACCTTCAACAGAGCTGATGAAGTTAGCTCAAAACTGCAAGCTATCATCTATTTGTTTTTTGTTGCGCAATACAAGGGAAAACTTTCGATTTCGATAATTTGTGCATACCTCTGAAAACAGTGTTACTCACCTAGCTCATCCCAGTGCTTTGATGCCAGATGTCCGCAACAGTGCCATAAAAGGCGGATAACCCGTCGAATGTGGGACTCGAATTCACCCGAAAACTGATTACCTAAAGTGTGCAAAATCAAAAAGCTTGAAAAACTTGCCTAGACGATTGAAAATAGCTTTTCACCTGCTTATGCAGAACTATACGTTTATACTATAGAACTTTAGTGCTGAAAACGTGATTTTGTTTGCTTCCCTAATTATGCTGTACAAAGCTGGCTGGTTTAGCGGAGCTTGGCATTCGAAAGCTGTGGTTAGACAGCGCGATTTCTAGTGCTTGTGCGCAGCTGCAAACAAAAACGCCACCGAATTATGGACACTGAAAAACGAAAATGCACACTGACTGCCCTGCTCATGAAAACAACTGCAAGTTCAAACGCTGCATCATGACCACGGTTGAACGCACAAATTGTTTGCATTGTTTGGAAGAAACTAACGCATACACCGAGGATAGCAGATCACACCACAGACATATATACAAAGTGGCTTCAAAATGTACAAATCCTTTGCTCGCTCTTGCAACCTCCGTCGCGGGCCATGATGTAAGCTGGCTGACAACACCGATGAAGGTAGTGCAACACACCGTAGGACTACGAAGGGATCTTTCTCCACATTGAATTGAACAAAATAAGCTGCCATTTAAAGGAAACGTCCAGGCAGATTCTCGACTTCTACATTTTTATGTTATCCAGGCCTTTCCATGGCGCTGATTCCGAATATGGAACTCAAAAAGCGTGAATTTTTCAGAAAACCACCTTTTGAGGCTATTTTGGGAAAACCCGGACGAGTGCTTCTGATATTATCCTTGTCGAAAGCAAGTATTAACAGGTCGCTGTAAGTTCGACTGTGTTGGTCATGTGAAAACACGTCAAGGCTGAGGAGATTTCGTTCATAAGGGGTTGGCCGTCCGAAAGAAGTGGGTGTGGTCGTCGAGCTCGGATCTGCATGGACGCTGCCTTTAAGCAGATTTCCGGAAATCCGTGGTGGAGTTTTTTTTTGTTGATCCCAAAACTAATTTTGTAATGACTATGTAAACAAACGTTACTAATAAGTTTTTTCCTCCGGTTTTTATCAATTTATCGAATACCCATGGCGTATACATCGACCGAAAAGTATATAATGTTATTCGCAAATTTGGAACCAGCAATTCTGACTGAATCAATTTTCAAACCTTTCTTGAGGCAAGATTTGGTCTAAAAGCGTCTTGGGAGTTCCACTCCAGTAATGGTGAATCGGCAGGCCGTTCTATTGTGTAAATCAGATTAGACCAGCCTTTTAGGACTATACGCTAAAGGCAACACCCGAAATGAATCGCCTTATGAACTGTGTTAATTGAACAGCCCCCTCTCCAATCTTTTAAGGTCCCAAAGACGGAGGGTGCTTGAAGGCAGCGTCCAGGCAAAAATTGGACATATGGGGGGTTCTTCCACGGGGTCTCACGTGGAAAGTAATTTTGGGGCCTTCACTAAGACACTCCCCAAGCGGTAGCGCAAACGATTCAAACGACTGAGAATTCTACAAACTGGACCCCGGCATCGTATCAGCGGATGACTTGCATCACGTTCGCATGGATTCATACGAAGACTCCTCAGCTTCACGTGAGTTCTCGCGCGAAAGCATAGGAGCAAGACGCAAGTCATGCACTGATATGACCCTGAGGTCCAGTTCAAGGGCGAGATTCTCAGCCATTAGTGAACCATTTGCGCTGCCGTTTGAGCAGTGTCTCATTAGGGCCCCCTGAAATTACTTTTCAAGTGAAATTCCCATAGTCCAGATTTGCCTGGACGCTGCCTTTAAGTGCTCCCCTGACTCCTTCTGCTCTGCTCAAATGCGCGCGGACGAGCTTACAGATACCTGCGAGCCGCGTACCCATCTGCAGTACATGCTTTCAGGTAACACCTCACTGTGTTATTCCCGTACTGATCGCCCGCGTTTATCGAAATACGCTCCCCCGAACGAGTTACGGAGTTCTCGCGCAATTTGCACTCTAAAATTGAGATCAGGGTCATGAAGAGGCTCGAGAACAGGTTAAGCGTGGGGTCTGGCGTGCAAGTCGTATTGAAAGTTAGACTGAGGGGGGAGGGGGGATAATCAAGAATCGAATACGTTTAGAAAATTGAGGAAAAACTACGATCGAGTAAGGTGAGAATAGCGCTGGACCGGTAGATGTTAAAAGCTTACCAGAACTGAAGGAATGACGGTCATGAACTGAAGACTGATTATTTCCACTATCAAAGTTTCAGCCAAATCTCAACTCTCCATCTCTTACCTTAAACATACCGTAGGGTCACCAAAGAAGCTTGCTGTACGAATTGGGTCAATTTCCTTATTCAGCATGTCAGATTAACCCCTACGAGCTTTACAAACCATTACCCCATTTTTCTAGTGTTTTCTGAGGTCTAAGCGTGATTTTCAAACATGATTTACTTTAAAAAAAAATCAACTTTTTTATCCAGCAAAGTAATATTCTTTATCAGTCTATGCTAGAAATTAGACTTCATATCGCTTTCAAATCTTGTATATAAAGTTGAATATCTGTATGTCTGTCTGTACGTATGTGCGGAATAGAAATTTTTATTTCTAAACCGATTTGAACCAAACTTAGCACACATATACTTCGGGGCGGGAAGCGTGTCAAAGGCTTCTTTTCGTTATCGATCGATATCGATTTTTTGCCAAGTTAAAGCTACAGGGCTGGGAGCTGGCACAGGGGGGGGGGGTAAGTGAGCATGCTGATTACGAATACAATATCAGTTTCTGATTATCGATTACTTCTTCGATTTATCGATTTTTTGCCAAGTTAAAACTACGGGGCTGGGAGTTGGCACAGGGGGGTAATCGAGCATGCTGATTATCAATACAGCGGAATAGGGAATTGGCATGTAGAAGTTGGCACAGGGATAGGAATGGTACCTTTATCATAGTCTTTTGACAGGGCTGAGCGGGTAAGCCAGCTAGTGGTTGATTGAAAAGGCTGCCAAAATTTCAACTATCGCGTATTTCTCCTTGAGCCTTTTAACTCCACGGATTACCACAAAGCCGAAACAAGTCCAGGTAAGCTCAGACACCTATCGTAAAATCTTCGTCGTATGTCTTCTGAGGTGAAAAGCTTCTTGGGAGATAAAATTAATAGGATCAGGCACACCCCTCCCCCTAAAAACCAGATTGCCTGAGCTTTTGTAGCCTTGTGCCTGACCCCCTTAGCTTGCCTTCAGGATTCAAAAGTCGCTCCATTCCTGGTATGATTATTGAGGTCACAGCCTCTCCATGCATGTGAAATTTGAAAGCCAAACACCCCACCCCTTGGGAAATTATGACTCTTTCAATGGGCCCATTCAGATCAAAATCTGCTGTCAAAATACGTCTGCTTGTGAAAGTGTAGTCACAGAAAATCGGGAGTACAGACCTCAAAAATACAAAAACTCCTTAGGACAGGATGTTGTCTTCCAGCATGTCACATTCTGAGATTCCGGAGGTGAAGAGAAGGTGTCGTAGATTATCCAAACAATCTACAACCTCTACCAATGTAGATCTATCATGTATGTTATATTATTCAATAGCATATCGTTGATAAACATTATTGTTCACTGACCACTTAAGCCGCCAGGCCACCCAAAATGCTGCAGATTACTACTACATGTCTATAAGCACGCCCAAAAAAACCTGCTTTGATGCTTTGCGCAAAAGCCCCTGAAAATGTACCTGCCATCCACTGAATTACTCATAGAAGGCCCCCATCACCTGACCTATAAGGATTACTTCTAGTACGGAAGGCACAGTCGAGACGCATACTGTGCTACTGTGACCCCGGCATAGCGAACCTGTGCGTAGGACTAGCACCGGAGCACTCGTTTACGCTTGTCATCATGAAGTTTTAGAAAAGGGTGGGGAGGGAAGTAATGCACGCGGGTTTTTAAGTGTACTGTACCTGATATCCGAAATCCATAAAAATCCTGAGAAACGATAAAAAACACGGGAGCGAAAAAAACCTGGATGAAAGCTGCTTCAGAGCCTCGAAAATGAGGTTAAAGGCAGTGTCCGGGCAAAATGGGGGTTCTGAGATTTCTCTGCCATGTGAAAGTAGCCCCCCTGAGACACAACATCGCGCAAGTGCGAGCATAAAACGTTCGACCTAAAGCAAGAAAAACGATTGCAAATTGGGGAAACTCATGCCTTGGGGCGGGGTCCTCCGAGTTGTTTGAATTCCTGCCAGACGGCAGAGTACGTATCCGCCACAGTTAAAAACCGTGCGCTCTTTGCAACCTCTGCGTCTTAGTCTGGCGGGGATCCCCAAATTTCGAAATGTGAGGACTTGGAAAATGCATGTTCTCGCCGTTTTCGCGCCTTCTGATGTGGATTTTCGGATTCAGCGTTGCGGATAACCCCAGATAAGTTGATTTTTTAGAAGTCGAGTTTCTGCCCGGACACTGCCTTTAAGACAAATGCATTAATAACTATCAAAAAGTTAAAGACAAACTCTGAGACACCAGCATACAAAGACTACGTATATTCTCCTAACGGCTAGAATGAAAGTAATTCATGCCCTTTCCATTTTCTAGTTCATCTCCCGCATGTACAAAACACAACTTTCCGTTCGGCAGCTTGTTTCCAATTTCAAATCGCAAATCTTCTGCTTGAAAGAATTGGTGAAGAAGCCCAAATAGGAGAATTTGCTCATATGCTCAGATGTTAATCGACTGAACAAATTCACTTCTACTCTGTGTGCTGATTGCACTTAGTATAGATTACTTAGCAACATTGAAGACACACTTTTCCACACCTAAATTACTGCACACCACTTTTTTCTGTTTCTTTCACTGCTCTCATGCAATGACATGATCAATGACTGCAATAGCACTAACTGTCAACTTCCTCAGTTGCTCCTCAGTTTCCCACAAAAATAACGGTCAAAAAGCTGAAGACAAAACCCAAGATAAGCACTCTGGTAAGTGATCGGTTTTATCACATAGTGAAGTGTTGGACTCTAGAGAGATATACAACTTTTGAAAAGGACAAATCGAACGGCCACAGCGAAGTGTGGCAGAATTCAAATTTTGCTGAAATCAAGTTCGAATTTGATGGCGCACAGGTACGACGCAACTTTAAGTGTTGCGCTATGTGCGCTGTAACCAGGGCCCGGCACAGATCGTCTGGAAGCAGGCTGGACTTCGCTTTTAATAGCAAAGTGGATATCGTTTTCGACGAGTCGGAACCGAGCACCAAAAATAAGCGCTATTTAGTCGAACACAAGCTTTTCGGACAGGGCATCACACGATTGACATGCTCTATCGTGTGAGGCGAAAAGTGCGCGCGATTTGAAAGCAAGACTAAATAAACAAATTGCTTGTTTACAGCGCACACAGAAGCATGTGACACCAAAATCGAACTGTATGTATAGAAAATTATTTGCAAAAGAATTATGCAGGAAGGTTTGAAAACTTATGTGAAGTAATACCTTTTCCAAAATTAGATCGTTTCCAGACGGCCACCAGACGATCTGAGATCGTCTGGAGCATATATTTTAGTCACTTCACATAAGTTTCAGATCTTTTTAGCATGGACGAATTCCCCGGTCAAAAATCTATCCCTGAGCATGAAGACATTTTCATATCATTGCCTTTCCTTTGTTTTTTTTTGCCTTCATTTCTTCTCGCTTTGTTCAATATCGCGCTCTAATGTCAAAATCTTGCGCATGCGTAGTATTCAGCTCCAATTTGGATTTTCACTCTTATCTTACGTCTTTTCTTTTAAAATAGTAAGTCTTTCTTGTTTTCATCTTCTCCTAAGCAGGTAGATCAAAGGGGACTTCGTAAAACTTCCGAAAGTCAGGGGAGACTTCGTTTTCAGAAACCCTAGAAACCGACTCGTGCCGGGTCCTGGCTGTAACCCCCGGTAGTACTTATGAGCCGGCTCATGATCCAGTGTATCGCTGAATCCATGATGATCCCTTACAACGCAACACACAAAACTAACATCGTAATACTGCGTTTTTCTACTCAAAATTCCACTAGTGAAAGCGACGTACCGTATTTGGTAGGGAACAATTCCTCGCTTCTGCTCGATTTTTCGCAGAAAGACATTACGCAGTCCATGTATTGAGGCGCAGAATACAAATGCCTCTTCCCTCGTTCATCGATGTAATATGCTTTCCTGAAATAAGATAGCAATGGATGAGGAAAGATCGTAAAAGCGCTATAGTTTTTTCTCGTATCTCACAACGGAAGGATAATAAACAAGAAAGCATGTTTAGTCGAACCGGCCTGTTTATATGACGTTGGTGAGCATAAAACGCTGATTCCAAAGCTGCCTTCCTTATCTGCGGAACGTTTATGGTCAAAGAGTTATGAGCGCTCATTCAAGCAAAAAACGTAATGTGCAAGTGGGCCAACAACATTCGTAACATTTTTAGCGCCTTAAGGGAGCAGTGATAATCATCCGAGCACTTTATTCAATAAATACTCTGAAATGAAAAAACATATACCACACATGCTTTATTTGAGGGTTAACTCAATTTATCCTAGATGTCCATTCAACTATCTGCTAAAATAAACGCTCATAACTCTTCGTCCATAAACGTTCCGCAGATAAAGAAGGCAGATTTGCAATCACTGAGAAGAAACATAGATATCTGGAATCAGCTTGAAATGCTGAGTCCAGATATGCTGTTCCTAGCTGCTATGCGTCATTCTGAAGCAAATTATGTTTTCTTTGTGGATGATTTGCACGCACCCATTTAAAGATATTATTCATTTGAGTGTTGAGCAATTGCCTTAGTTCCTTATTAACTAAAAAAACTCAAGCTGCGGTTATTTCAATATCATAGCATTACAGGAGGATTTCTACCGGCTGTTCCTCCATAATAATTTAGCGTCACACTGTTTCCATATTATTTAGTATGTCAGTCTCACCTATAAAAAGCCCATAAGTCGTACTAGAATCATAACCAGCAGCTAGAAACAACATTTGGAAACAGGATTTCAAGCTGAGTCCAAATATATATACAGGGTGTCCCAAAAGTATGTATGCACTGTTTGATCGTTAATATCTCTCTTCACAAGAAGTCTTTTGCCTTATATCAGGTACCGTTTTGTAGAGCTGGCTTCAACTTAGATTCACAGTAAAGAATGAATCACTCATCTCTCTTCGTTACTGTAGGATTACGGTAGAAATTTCAAAGAGGGTTTTGAGCCATGAAAGGATTTTGCCTCAGAAAGGAAACAAAACAGCCTGAAAACTTTTACACCAGGCTAACTGGATTTGTTGATTCTAACTGTAAAGTTCCCAACTTTTTATGATGCTTCATTGAAGAGTTATGCCGGGTAAGAGGTAGCGGCCATTTTTTCAATGTTCCTAAAAAGTGCAGTTACACCGTTTAGAAAGTTTCGCAATCTTATGAATAGTTGAGTATTGAACTCAGCGTCCATAAAAACCCTATTATACAAGTTTTCACATTTTTTTTGAAAAATTTTGAAACGGCAGCTTTTTCCACATTGACGCCATATGTTTCAGGTTTCTACCGTAATCCTACAGTAACGAAGAGAAATGGGTGATTCGTTCTATACTGCAAATCTAAGTTGAAGCCAGCTCTACAAAATGGTACCTGAAGCAAGGCAAAAGACTTCTTGTGAAGAGAGATATTGTTTGTTCTCGTAAGCCCAAACCAAGTTAGTGTCGTTCCCGACTCCAAAAATAGAACCGACCTCTCAGCACATCACTTGAGACAACACGCTATGAAATCAAAATTATTTCTCTGGGTGCTTTTGAAGTGCTATTATACATTCCCTTCCATGTCGAAAGAAACCCCCAACTAAATCGAGACTGATGTAGGCACTTTCCATGCAGCAAAACACGAATTCCTTACATTTATCTAGGCCCGTATGCGTGGAACATCCTGCAACGAGGGGAGTGGGGTTTCCCATGACGAAGGGGCGCGGGCGAACGCAGCTGCGGCCTTCTCATCATTGGGACAAAACTCCCCTCGCCACAGAAATTTTTATGCATAGGGGCGTTGAATTTGGAGCAAGTGAACCCAAAACTCCACCGTTGAGTTGAAAAATCGTAAAGATGTCGGAAATCTGCCTTTTGCTACTCTCTACTAAAACGAACAAATTCGCGGTGAAGGTGTACCTGCTACTGCGGAAGCACAGACCCGCTTTTCTAAGGGTGGGAATGACTCAGATATGTAGGCTATTTACTCATTGAAAAAGGCCATGCGGCGAGATCAAAAAATCTACTTCGTGAAATGCCCCACTGATTGCTATAGTAGAATTCAACTAAAAAAAAGACAGCTGCGTCAATAGTGAATACTGCTGATAAGAAGAGCTCAACATGCCATCAACCATTCTTTAACTCGTTTGAAGGCTATCACCAAAAGATAGAAATAAAAACGAAAACAAACGTTGTTCCTGGATAGCTCATGTACTGACAAGTGGCAGGTGTGCACAAGTCCAGCAAACTTCCCCATAAGGCATTGACGTGATCGAATAAGGCCAACGCTGAAACGTAAATGTTGCACAAGCCAAATCTCACTGGTTTATCGACAAAAAATTGATGTGGAGTAGGTGGGCAGTCTCCAAAGTCAACAAGCAAGGGAGGTGGAGGTGACCCCAAAAAACAATGCACCATTTATTTTTCACAGAGGAACGACAGAAATAAATGACAACTTTTCCAAAGCGATATGGAAGTACTAAACCAAAATCCATAACAGCAAAAATATGGGTTTCCTATATTGGGCTCAAACGCTGCCAAAAAGAACACAAAAACGCAAAGCATATTACTCACTATGTGTCGCTAGCCATTCCCGAGCATCAATCCCTGGAGGAAGAGCAGTAAACTTCTCGATAACCTCAAGTAGTGCCATACAGATGGAAAGATGCCATTTCGTTTTCACATCAAACGTACGTGGTCTTCAATCGAATCGCACACGCACAGTTCAGCTGACTGCGATTTACGCGTTGATGATCGCTGGGCTACGGACGCGCTAGCCACGCGTTTGGTTTTCGCATCCTTGACATCTCTTCGCCGCGATCGACTTAAACAGAATATTGATCGATAAATTCAAGGAACCACAAATACTGCTTATTTCATTATTGTGTAAAGCCAAGAGCTTGAATGCTGAAATTTACTCGTTTTTCAAGAGATACATTTTTGCAACTGAATAGTCTTGAGTACAATATCAATACATGAGGAATTGCAGATAAATCGATCCGAGAAACCCCCAAAGTGTATCGAAGCACTGTCATACAAACCTCCTCTCTTTCCTTTTGATAAAATTACATCCATCAAATAACTGTTTCCACTCTCCAAGAACTGTTCGTATAGAATTAAAACGGCCAGAGTCGGAAGCGCTAACTGGAGGTTGAGTGACTACATCAGCTGTCATCAGATACTGTAAGATATACAACTAGAGGAGCTCACCATCAAAATTGTCTGAGCAATCATGATGAGTGCAAGAGAGAAGCCAGCGAGGGGAAGGACACGGTGGTGCGATAAGCGACTAGTCGTCGAAAAAACAGAAAAAAAACAAGAAAAGATGTCATGTAATCAAAAGCAACATCAAACTGAGAAGCTACAGTTGAACTTTATCGAACAAATATACAACTAGAGGAGCAGCTATAGCAGCTAACTCCTTTCAAACTGCTTAAACGAGAAAGGTATCGCCTAAAAACTAGGACGATTTTTTGTAACTGCTCGTAAACTTCAAAATTCATTGGTTGAAGAAGGTAAAATCTATATATAACAAAGGTCTCAATATCAGCAAAATATATACCCTTTATCGATTTTCGAAAAAATGGCTATTGTCGAACCATAAGCTCCGATCAAATTCTGGTCAAATATGTGATGACGCCACCCTTGCATCATACCGTATGAAAACCACAAATCCTGTCTTAACGAATTTTACAGCTCCGATTAAGGTCAGGAAACGCTTTTGTCTTGTAATCGATTCTAAGGAAAGACGAAAAGCTACTACCATGATCCATTACAGAATTGTCCAAAAACACCTCAAAACATACTAAAGTTGTACAAAAAAGCAAAAGAGGAGGAAATTGGGATAGGAGCACATTTAAACAGGTGGAGATGAAGTTTCATCGATTGAATCTTGTCTTCAGCGCGATGTTATGAAATACAAAAACGCGTCAAACGTCGATAACAAGAAGAACCGGAACACGCGAGAACGCGAGTAGCCGCACTTCGTCCGGGTTCGCATTTGTGGCATTCAGTGCAATATATTTGATGATTTTGGCATCACTTTTATCTCCATTGGCTTTCAATGTTTGCAATCAAAAGCAAAAGTACATAGCACAGAGATGCGGAGATTTTGGAAGGTGGTCGCCAAAGGATGCAAAAGAGTTATGCCATGCAACCGCAATGCAGGGAAATGGGCACTGGAAGCAAGAATATGAGTAATAACGCCAAATCTCGTAGACTGGTACAGTAATATGCCCGCCGATGCCTTAAACTCACAAGTGTTCTGAAATTCACTCAAATCGGTGCAAGCCTTGCCTATGGCGCTATGAACGAGAAAGAATGATAAATTCCGAATGAAAGACTCAGTCACAAATGCCGCGTTCGCAACAGGAATTAGTATGCTTCCAATGTAACCATCTTAATGTTGCGATCCCATATCCGTAACCTAACAAGGTGAAACATGAAACCACAGCGAAATATTGAGTCATGTTGTGCCATACTCAATCAACGATTATGCACGCGAAAAAAGGGACCACATGGCGGATGTAATAAAACGGCGACCTGCACTGCCGCACCTTTTATTGAACATCAACGAATGAAGCAACATAGTGGTGCTCGACTAACTATCACCAGATATTACTACTGGAGACGAAGAAATGCTTAGTTCGAGAGGAAGAACTGAGAGGCAGGTGCTTCGGCATTGTTCAAAATGGAAACGATCGTTGTGCGTCACCGAACGATTGAATGCGACCCTATCCCCCTTCTTTGTCTACGCCACGGCGAGCGCGCTCACCTCGTACAAACATCTCACAATACATGACAGGTCAGCCAGTAAGCTGTCACCAGTCGTAGGCTTACCGTCGCAATTGCAACTTTGGTGCAGCACAGTGCTTTGCCACGAACGCATAGTTGAATGTTCACGAATATGTGATGACGACAGAACATGTAGCATTGTTGTGAAGAGCAGGAAATTTGAAAACTGTGCAAATCACTAAGCAGTAAATGAGAGATGCAGTATCGATAACGGTTCAGCCTCATCTGCCGCAATACGATAAGAGTGTAAAAGCACTAAGTTTGTGAAATACATTATAAAGTACACATCTAATACATTGTACTGATGAAGTAGTATCAATTTGTCCAATGAAGATGGTCATTCGTGAAACACGCAGATAGGAAGGACTTAGCGTGGTAAACTAGAAAAAATTGATAGCGACGTGTATGTACATGTGATTTCTTAATAATAAGCATGGAATCCATAAGCAACTGTAGAACAGAAACCGAATTTTGATAAACGAAGGTGCATCTAAGCTAGTTAGAGTCTAGCAATTGAATCGTCTCCCATTTTAAAAGGCGTATTTCAATGTAAAAACCTCCATGGATCGAAAAAAGCAACTTTGCTGCATTTCGACAGAGATTACATCCAAAATGTAGCTTCAGTTGACAGAGCAGTGAATGAAATTTCATTGCACATGCTAAGGTTCCCAGCAGCATTCGATGGAAACAATAAGTTAAAGGACAAGGATTAATCAAAAAAGTCGTTGGAACGACTAGATGGACACAGGATGTAGAAAAATGAGCGCCAGATAGAGCGACGATGAGGAAAGAAGCGCAGCTGGAAATTTGCACGGTCGAGGGACAAGAGCAAACAGGCCCTAGTTAGAGTTCAAATTTCTGGCTCATCCGGCGACATAAGAATCCAGCAAACATACTTCCATAAGAATATTACTGATTACTGATCAATTCAGGAAATCGACGAAACAAAATAGCATACGAATTTTGCAATTAATTACTTGCAGATGCCCTTTGGGGAATATAGGAAACGAAAGCGCCCACGTGTGCAAAAACTTGATCTTCATCGCATTAATCCAGTAGTCAGTCATTTGTTGAAATGCGATTGACATGTTTTCAAATAGTACTTTTGAAAAGAAGCAAAATCATGATGATAAACCACCAGAGTGTGGACGCTGAAAATCAACAAACTACTGTACCGTTACGAAAAGAAAACCTAGAGCCTGCAATCCAAGTAAGCTAATGAGATACGAAAGATAACGAACGAAGTGACAACATATCAATGTTTGCCGCGTGCTGGCGGACATGACGCGTGAAGATCGACGCGAGACGACGAAACAGCGCCATGACACATGTGGTAGAGAACGAGCACATGGTTCAGCACAGCAAGGTGACTCCTCTGTTTTGTGGCTGAAGTGCACGGGCTATCCCTACCGTTACTACGCTATTTCCAATTATTGCAGAACTGTGTTCGCCATAGCCATTCATTGACGAACGATGTCGGAATGAGAAAAAATACCAAATCAGTCCAGGTGAAAAGACGTTTCTACGCTTATGCTACCCGTAGGAATGCCGTACAAGCAAGTTTTAAGAAATGTGAAAAATGTACATGCTCACCTTTACTACACAAAGTACTGTTTTTTCTGCAAAGCCTAGTAAACATTACAACAAAGTTTGATGTGTGATTTGACCTTGCCTTGTCTAGTGAGGAATTTCGCTTCCAATACTTTGTTTTTCCAGCAAGCTTTGTATTAAATGCGTCATATCATCCTGATCGAAATGCTTGCAACTGTCGAAAATCACTGTCGATCATGGACGGATAAAGAGCGCGCAAAACAGGCTTTCTATCGCCAGGAACAAGCGGAACATGTGGAAAGGCGACGCGTATATGTACGAAGAAATACCGGTTTTAAAAATGCATGGCACTTCAGCCAAATCGATACAGCTGCTCGTTATCTAAGAAGTTGCTATACAGGAAGAAAAATATACCCTTTGAATGCACTCGAAAGAAAATCGCTGCGATAACGAGCATAGATGGAACATCCATGACCGTTGAAGTCATGGACTGCGTGAGAAGGATTGAGGGCAGTAACTTTCCTTGTGAGATGCTGCGTGTGGCTACAACCACGCAAGACGAAAGTTAGCAAAACAAGTTTTTTCTATGAAGCACTTAGTAAAGATACCACTTTACAGCAAACACAAAAACTGAAGAACAATCAATAGACAAATAGTTTAAAGATCAATATAGTGAACTTCCCTATCAGCTAAAAATATTTCTATGCATCACAGTGATGCTCCGAGAAAACTGCGTTGAACAGTTATGATCACAAACACTGGTTTGATATTTAAAAAAAACTGATAAAGTTGTTGCTCTTTGACTTTTGGCCCGAACATAAAATGGCTAACAGAGCCTTTCCAAAAAGCATAACTTCTGCCACTGGATGGCATAAGGGTCTCCAAAATATTGTTAATGTTATTGACATTTCGCGCAGATGAATTTTAACTGTTACTACCAATTGCCACAATTCCAAGTTTAGAAGTAGAGATAAACAAGCCGAAAATTGGGGATAATAGGAGGCAGAAAACAGAACTAACAAGGTCAATGTAAAAAAGTGGGTGAAATGTATATGATCCAATCTCAAAGTTCCTCAACCTATTCGAATAACTTCATGACAGTCTCAAACCGCAGAATGTACAGAAAGGTGTAAGAAATGCAGGCCAAAGAAACGTCTCATAAGGCGATTGAAGGCCTGACAAGGAAAATATACGAAGAAATAGAAAGAAATGAAAATAACCTCGTAGTGGCACACCTCTCCATTAAATGCATTCACGTCCGATGCCATCCGGCATCGAGAACACGGGAACCAAAATTTCTAATGTGTATTTGACGACTGCTCCTGATGAAATGATGGAAAATGAGTAGGAATGTTAGAAATAACGTCACTTCTGCATGGAATGTACAAACAAGAGAGCATTTGACCCAAATAGTTTGGAGTATAGAATATTATGATGGTGCCAAATATGTGCGTTTCTCACAAACATAAGGGATCGTTC